TACGTGGGTAGATTCATTTGCTTTTACTGCTGACGAACTTACGGGGTTTGCTGTTTAATGCACGCAGCCCTTTAGCACTGACTTTGACTCTTCAGGAAGCTGTTCTCCTATTCAAAATATATGAAAGGAGTCCTACTAGTTAATAATGTAAGATTAAAAATAACAGTTTTTAGTGACTGAACAAGAGCTGCAGCTAAATCATAATGAAGATATACATAGCATTAAGGTAAAAAATGATATATGCAGTGTTATCTTCATTTTAGATGTCAAAAGGGTTTTGCAGCTCCCGGTGTTTTCTTTTGTGTGGGAAACGGGTCCAAATGGCTCTTTGAGTGTTAAAGGTTGCCGACCTCTGTTCTAAGGGATCCAACTTGGTATCTCAGACATGAGAAGAAAACGCATCTGGGACTTTGCTGCAGTTCTGATCCTCAACTCTTTAAGCTCCCTCCACTTTTAATTAAGTTGAAATATTAATAGTTGGTATGCTGTTGGTAGCAAAGCAAAGTTGTTCAGAAGAAAGGGGTCATAGCAACATGGGCTGAATTGTCTCAGCTAATACTTTTGATGACAGTATTTTTCAAACCTACCACCTTTCGGGGAACCTTTCCCCGTGAACTTGCCTGCCCAGAAGACTGGAAATGCCTGGCACCACAGAACCAACACGTGGTGCAGAGGACTCCAGTATACGAAGGGGCCAGTTGCAGTTCATTCAGGGCACCAATGGCTGCCCTGTCATCACTTTGTGTGAAGTTTGGTGTTAACAGGCAACCTGTCTTCTAAGAAAGCTTGTCTGCATTATTGATTTTCTCACTGAGGAATCTCTGAAAAGCATCTGAGAAGCCCCGGAGTTCCCCAGAACATGGCTTGAAAATCACTGCCAGATGGGAACAATCATGCAAAATGGAAAACGTAATTAAACACACACAGCCCAAAAAACAGAGTTCACTTGAGATGCCTGTTGCTGTTTAGCAAGGAGAAAAGTGTTGGTTATAAGACTGTGCCATCTATCTTTTTTTAAGGAAGGTGAAATCTTTGTTGCATATTGAGAATGGAGTGCTGTGACAAGGCCAGGTGTGTGGTATGATAATTTCTATCTTTCAGCTAAATTTCATTTATTAAATTCCTGCATTGTTTCTGTCTTTGGTTTCACCTGCTACTCTTTTCTGATTGCTTAATAGTCACCCCCCAGTTTTATTAATACCTCCCAAGGTAAGCTGGGACAATCCACCAGTTCCGCACCTCAGGCATTTGAAGGAAGTGGTAGATTAAATTTAATCATTAGAGTGCCTTCTGAAATGTAGTTAATTGCCATCTCCATGGAGAATAGCGCATGTGCAAAAGTACACAATGCCTCTATTATGCAAGTTTTGAAAGCTGTGTGCACAAACAATTAAACTAAACTGGGGAAGACATAGGAAGGAAAGATGATGCTGAACCTAGCTGTGCTTGGGGACTAATGCCTATCTAGGCCAATAAAATGAGCAAATTATGGCGCTGCTTGGCCACCCCAGCCAATGTGGAAGGGAGGAAGGTGGGCTACAGGCAGAACTCAGCGGCAAGTCTCTTGCTGATTTTAGTTTTAAGGATGCTTCTAGAAGAATGGCTCCTAGGTCTGCTAGTCAAAAAAATGCTGCACAGCTCTTTTGCTTTTCCCTTTCACCTTCTCTTCCCTTTAGTAAGAAAAATGAGGGAATATACAGTGACAAAACATGGGAGAGTTATGGATCAAATCATAACACGCCATGTAAAATGCCTTTCATGAAGCAGGCCAATGGCATAATGAAAACCACATCTGGAAGTGCTTGAACTCACTTGTTAAAGTGAGCTTCATTTTAAAGACTTCTTCTGGGAAGAGCATTCACTGATTGTAATATTATGCCAAACGTTTGGTTCTACAGAAGGTAGATGAGGATTAGTGTCTGAATTTTGTCTCTTTACTATATCTGGGATTTTAGAAAGATAGGGGAGTATTTATAAAATAACAACAACAACAACAACCCAAACATTATATATTAGGAAAACTGTACAATATTTAAAGCAGCATTGCACCATAAAGCACTGTGGGTGGTGCTATGTAAATTAACGTATTAATCAATTACTGCAGTATCACACTTTAGCAGCAGGGAATCTTACACACAAATGCAATAATAGAATCTGGATTACATTCTCTCCCCTGCATTGAAGAGGTACACTTACCCAAGTCATGACGTATGTGTGTGTGTGTGTGTGCTGGGAGCACAACGATCATTTGCTGGTGGTTTTAACAATGTCAATGGAGCCAGGGACAAGCCCTTGAGAACAAATCAAAATGGATCAAGTAATACAACCCAAATGTGAAAGGTGGAGGTTTAATAACAAAGTTATGTGCAGGCAAACCTGTCAAGCAAAGCATGAAATAGCCAGCAGCTCAACTCAAAATGGAATTAACCAAGAGCCTTTCATAGCCAAGCACCTTGCAAAATCCTTTTTTCATCATGTCCTAGGGTACCATGTGAATGCAGCCTTCATTCAGTGGTATTTCAAACCCCATGTCCCATGCTTTTAGTGCTGATTAAATGCAGCAGGTACCCTTGGCCTCAGTCTGGAAGCTGTCCACAGAACAGGCCTACTTGAAATGCAAGCACCTCTTTGGCAGCTTTGCTCCTAACTCACGCTTCGTAAAGTTGCCTCTCTGTATGGCTGGAGAACGTCCCAGTGCTGTTGGACATCATGGTTCTGGTGACAAATTCTTGGGTCACCTGCTTGGTGAGGGTACCACCACTCTCCACTCTCTGAGTGGTCATCAATATGCCATCTGAAACGAGAGGGGACAAAACAAAAACCTTGCAGTGCACGGCTCCTGTGCTTGTCCCCATGAACGGGTCTGGACCAGAAGCTGAGGGTTCTGAAGCATCATGAACTGAGTGTGGCCCAAACAACTGCACTTCATTTCAGAGAAGCCCTTGTTTGAGCCCTTTTGCACTGCGAGGGCAATCCGGGCTGTGTTCACATGAATAGGGGCAGACACCAGCAGGAACCTAATTGAGAAACTATTCCTGTCATGACCACACACTTATTATCAACAGGAGCACATTCCTTACAACACAAGGAGAAGAGTGTTCAGAGAAGTAATGGGAGGATATCCCCCACCCCGCTTCCTCCACTTTCCAGAGAGAGAGCAAGACCATGGTTGTTATGGACAGAGATACCAATCCAGCAGTGTTATAAACCGCCCAGAGAACTTTGGCTATTACACAGTATAGGGAAAAAATCAATAGTATTGATGATGCCTGGTGAGGGGTAGAGAAAGCCGAAATCAGTTTAAAATCACAGATGATTGGGAAAAGTCATATTTCTTCTCACCTGTGTATAAAGGATCCAGTGGAGAATGAGTGATGCTGGTCAGAGTGTTGTATTCCCTGGGGAGACTGTATACCTCCTCTCTGGTGAATTGCTGTGTTCCATACTGAGAGAAGGAACCTGAGCCAGAAGGGCAGAAAAATCTATTTTAATTCAGCTTTGGAATGTCTACTTCATAGTCAATTTGATGTCAATAAAATAACCTCTGAAAAAATGTTAGTGAGAAATGAAAAAAGGAGAAGAGTCGAGAAAAGACTGTCTTCCTTTCAGAGAAGCTTAATAACTTGTTTGTACTGTTTTTAGTGGAAAGGTAAGATACTAATAAATTGAAAATGTGACATGTGCTGTGCCTGGATAAAAGGAAATTGGAAGACTGCAGGACTGCTTATGTTTCCACTACAGGGCACCCACAAGGGAAATAAGATGAACCTTCAAGGCATCGCAACAATGGCCACATCTCTCCATCTCCCCACACACAGACACAGACGCTCACCATACTGCACAATGCACACACAGGAAGCAGGGAAATCACCGTCTTTGCCACTGCGGCCTGTCTGGCAATATTGGGTGCAACAAGCTGCATGGAGGTCTTCTTGCTCAATGTACTAGCCAATCCTTTCAAAACAGCAGCAATTTCCAATGCCCTGACAAATTGCTATGAAGAACCAACTCTTCTTCAAGCGAATAAATGTACCTGCATCTTGAGATTCAATGGTGATGATTCCCTCTCTTTCAGGCCCGAAGCCTTGAGTGGTCTTTGCTTGCACTTTGAACTTATATGGGACATTTTCGCTCAGGTAGGGCACTGTCAAACTGGTCTCTGGGTTGTCACCCTCCACATAGATATTCCTGGGTTCCCCTAAGTAGACATAAACATAAAAAGCAGATGGAAGAACGTAGAGAACAAGCAGAAAAGTTCTGTCAGAGGCATCGGATCTATCTCACCCTTATCTTTGTTCTACTAGATACTTTGATTCACTGCCTTCTGACGCCTGAAAAGATCCCAGAGCATGCAGGGGCTTCCCTGTTTTGTTTGTTCTTTGAATTAAGAAATGTGGGATGTGTGCATATGTATATATGTATATGTGCACATGTGTCTGCACACACACAGGATCCAATCTCAATTGCAAATTCCCTGAGAGCCAGTGTGATGTAGTGCTACAGAGCATGGGAATGGGACTCAGGCGATCTGAGTTCTAGTCCCCACTCAGCTATGCAGCCAACTGGGCAACTTTGGACCAAGCACAGACTCTCAACCCAGCCTACCTCACAAGGTTCTTGTGATAGGGATAAGATTGAGAGGAGAAGCAGGAGAATGATGTAAGCCACACTGGGTTCATCGTAAGGAAAAAGCAGGATATAAATCTAATAATAAATCAAATTTAAGCTGAATCAGCTGTGCTGGGGGAAGTGGACTCCCTAGCCCCCTTCCTTCCTATAGTCACCCCTCCAGACCCCTGATAATGCTACACAGAGAGTCAGGAGACCCTGCTGAATAGGGTGCTGAATGGGGTGGGTAAGAGGACCTAAAAAATCAGCCAGAGGGATTTTCCTTGACCAGAGCCCTTCCTTTCACAGAAGGTAGATCCTGGATCTAATCCTGCTTTGCAATTTGGTTTGAAAGTGTCACATACCTCCACCATGCAACGTCTCACAGGTAACCATGTAGCCCAGAATTAGGCCATTGGGTTGGCGGGGTCTCTCCCAGCTCAGCTGAAGGGAGTCCGGGCTCAGTGCAGTGAACACCAGGGGCCCTGGGGCACTGGGAGTGCTCAAAGTGAATGGTGAACCTATCAAAGTAAGGACAAAAGCTCAATGTTCTACAGAAGGAAACAGAAGGACCGAGCACCTCACACCAGTATGTGCAGATTATCCAGTATGTGCTGATTATCCAAATGCATAATCAGAATAATAATTCAACATTTTAAAATAATTCACTATACAAAGTCTACTTCTCTCTTCTTTTCTGAATTTGTGTCAAAATTGGAAATAAAATGTTGTTTAAATTCAGAATTGGTACATTCAAATATAAACCCACAAACTAGAAATCTTAGAAAATTCAGGCTTTGGTGAGGAAACTTGAGTCTATTTTATTTTAAGTCTAGAGTTGACACATATTCGTCACCTGAAGTTCTCCTAGTCTTTAAAATACAGTTTTTAAATGCAAATGTTGAGTTTCCAATTTTTCCCATTTTGAAATTTTAAATTAAATGTTTTTACATTGTTTTAAAATTGTAAAAACTGGACTGCGTTACTCAAATGTTGTTTTAGCTAGTATTTTCAGCTTGAAAGTGCTGTAGTTTGCTCCCTCTAGTTCCACATGCTCCCTTCTCTTTCTATTCCTTATGCTCTCTTCCCATCTCTGAAATCCCTGTGAAATCAAACCCCACAGCACAGAGTTTTCATGAAGAATAAGCATAATTCTGTTCTGACTCTCCATAAAAGGAAGCATCATCAGAAATCAGTGGCAAAGAGAATCAAAAGTAGGCAACAATGCACTGGCAGCACATGGAACTGAGTGATACTTTCGTTCTAGAATGGCTGGTAAAAATGGAGCCCACGTTACCTGGAACAGGACTTAGAGGGCTGTGTGGATCCACTTGCGACTCAATAGTGATCACTCCTTCTCGCTCTGGACCCCATCCTTCATCACTTTGGGCCTTCACTTTGAAGACATAGGAGTGATTGGGCAGCAGGTCATTCACCACCACGGAGTTCTGAGTAGGGTTGGGAATAGTGAGCCTCTGAACCTCTCCTGGGAATGGGAGAAGAGGTAGCAGTGACTTTCAAAAGACACAACTGCAGTTTCCACCAGCCAGCTGACAGGGCTGTGGGGTGACTCCTAGCAGCTGCACACGGAGGCTTGTTGCGCATTCAGGCAACTTTGGAGGCCCAGAAAGCACCTCTCTGGCCCCACTGCAGCCTATTCAGAGAAGCAGCACAGCCACAGAGAAGGGGTGTGAAATCTTTCTATCCCTTGCTTATATTCTGCACCTGTATTTCATCTCAGTATTCACTGCATTGTGTACCAGCTTGGACACAGGTAGCTTCATTTCTTCCCAAGTATCCTCAAACCTAAAATGAGGTGCCTTGACAGGTCCAGGCCCACAGAGTCAAAACAGGGAGGCTTTTTGATGGTGGCCTCTGATTTCCCCATCAAAGCTCACTTGTTCCCAAAATCGTTATCTTTTCAGTGTCAGGTCAAAGCTTGCCTCTATGCCTAGTTATATGATGGTCTACTTAATACATCAGTCAAATATTTTTTAGTTGTCACTGACATTTCAATAGTTTTATGGGGGTGATTGTACTTTAGGTGATACTTATTTTATCTGTTGCATATTTTGTATGTTCTGATTTGGTTTCAAGTCTCCTTGAGTCTCTTTTGAGAAAGGTATATAATAAATCTAAATAGCAACAACAATTCCTATCAGACCCAGCTGGCCTGGTGATGAGGAATGACAGGAGTTTTACTCCAAAATGTCTTTAAGGCTTCTCTAACCCTTGCTCGTAGGTGCAAGGCTAGGAGCACGAAAATTATAATTTCTCCATACTGAGTGGGGGGCAATATCCTTTTGCTTCTTACTTCCAAATCATACTCTCTATGTTGATGGCAGCATCAACACTTCTGACTAAACAGGCTTTCCCATTTACATTCATAGCACATGATTCTGTCCTACATAAATGACAGAGGTCGCTTCACTGACCTCCATTGAGAAGCTGGTACTGCACGCTGTATCCTTGCACCTCTTTGTCACAGTGTGGCTCCTGCCAGCTGACCTTCAGTGAGGTAGGCCCAAGGGCAGAGAAGACTAATCGGGTGGGAGTTTCAGGGACACCCAGCTGCATCCTAGAATCTAAAGCAGAGACAGAAAGTCACCAACTTGGTTCTGAAGGCTGGGAAAGGGCCCAAAACTAGCCTTGCATGAGAATGTAACAGCTCCTTTCAGGTTCAGGGAGAACAAAGAGAATGCCCCGGAATAAAGGAAAGGGTTAGTCAGACCTATGGAGAATCTGGCAAGAAAGGCTTTAGTTACCGAGGTGAACAGCCGGGCTCAGGAATATGTTTAACCGGAGAGCAGTGGTTGCAAACAGCACCTCAGCCATACTTTCCAGCTGAGTTGTAGCTTGAGGATACCGGTCTCTGAGAAGCAGCTCACCACGTCCAGCCGACAGAGAGAGCAGGAGAGCTGGCTGGCCAAGCCAGTTTCTCTTTCTGTCTCCAGTCACTGCCTTCCCCAGGTCCCACGCAGAGGCTGGGTGAAGCTCACTCTGAGGCACAGTGTCCAGGCTACGCAGGGCTTTATAGACAACTCTGGAGTGAATGGGGCTGTTGGCCTTCTGCAGGAGGGCATAATGCACCCTGAAATATGAGTCTAGCCCTGGCAGAATACACAAGGGCATAATAGTGTCAACACAAAGGCCTGAGCATGAGGGAAGCTCTGCACATTCGCAGCCAGTTCATCAAGAACTCCTTGCTATCCCTGACTGAAACTGATCGAAGAACTACAAAGGAGGATTAGCCAAGCAGCTCTATTTCACAATTTTTCCAGGGTTCAAAAAAATTCAGCCCTAATTTCAGCTGGGTATCTAAATCCCAGTCCAGAGTTAAATCATTCTGTTCAACTTAGTAGGGGGTATTCAAAATGGCAGATACTGATCCCATCTGAGCGAGTAGCCATTTTCCCAGGCTCAGAAATAGAAACGGCTCAGGAATTGACCTCCAGGGGCAGAAAATGGCTGCAATCTTACTAGAAGGAGGTTTCTTTTGAAAGAATGAAGCTCTCCCTTTCATACTTTTGTCTCTCAACCAATTAGAGAGGAGTGGGGAAGCACCAAGCTCCTTGCTGGCTACTGCAGCTGGGTGAAAAGAAATTCCCCGGCCCTTGAGGAAAGGAAGACAGTTGTAGTGTACCCTTCCCTGTACCTCCACAAAGGAAAAGTTACTCCTGATTAGGGGATGGTGCACAGGGAGGGCTTGGTGCATCAAGCAGGGCAAGTTTCCTCTTCCTCTTCAAAAGCTGTAGCCCATTTTTAAGGACTGAAGTTGGGTAGGAATCTATTAAACGAAAGACAGGACACACTTCTCCCTGGTGAAATCAGAAGTCGGTCCCATCTTTTGTCTACAAAATGGTGTGACCCTGCATGTAGAGGGCAGCTTCAAAACCAGAAGGAAATTGCGGGAGTTAAGGAAGTCACTGGTTCCTAAAGTAATCCATAACACCAAGCACAATGCTAAGGCACAGTACCCTTGATCGATGCCAGTGAGCTTTATGAGGGGCATTTTGTTCTCTCTGCCACTTTTAAATGAAAGTTTGTTGCAATGCGCACAGACAGCTGGTTTGTTAAGGTGACAAACACAGGGTGCTGAGGACCTCACATGAAGTTATGGTATTGATCAGCTTGGATAGTTGTGTAGTAACTGAAATGATGCAGTTGTGAAAGGCGACGTGGTAAAAGAGCAGGAAAGCCAGAGAATGGGGGAGAATAAATTTGCGCATGCACACATAACTGCATACAATGTGGATGGAGGGCTGGATAGATTAGCAGGTTATGGGATGAGTCACTGTAGATGAGCCACACGTCCAAGGGAGAAATAACCATGCTATGCCATTGGCTATACCTAGATATTTGGAAATCCAAGAAGGCCCATCAGTCATGACTATAGAATCTCGGGCATCACTGCGGCCAAAGTAACCCTTCACCTTTGCCCTCCTGAAGACCACATCCTGTGGCATAAGGGCCATCCTCTCAGCATCTTCACGGATAGGAGGAAATATACTCCTGGACTGGTCTACAGGTTTGGGCAGAACAGAGGAAAAGAAAGAAGCACCATTGAAGACACCAGAAGAGACTACCACCCAATGCTAGGCAGAGCACCAGAGAGAATAGTATGAGGGAAGAAAGAAGTGTTCTCTACCTTAATACTGGATTGGCATCTAGAGCCTTAAAGGCAGAAGGTAGCCATGGACCTACATTAGTCTTCCATAAATGCCCTGCATGATGGTTGCAGTGGCTGGGAATGATGGGAATTGCATTCCACCATATTTGGGGGCAACAGGCTAGGGAAGGCAAAAACAAGCACAAAGAGCATCAAGAGAATGAGAAGAGAAACAATAAAAACAATAAGAATTCATTAGATTTTTCAACTCCTCTGAAGAAGTGGTGTGAGGAAAAGACATCAGGGTCATTTTCTGTCACTTTCTACCTTGGGGGAAACCTTGAAACATCCTGCCCAGGCAGGGGACACACACACACACACACACACACAGTCCAAGCCTGTTACTTTGCAGTGTGCCTTCAAGTAGCATCAGCAATCCTGATGCTGGTGCCGTCAAAACCTTGGAACTGGTCAGTGTCTTCGTCTTAACCAACCAGAAGTGATTGAAATGAAGCAAATGGTTTCTTCTAGTGGGATTGGAGGGAACTTTGTATCCTAGATAAATTAGATTTGGTTACAGGACACTGTTCACCCCAACACCAGTTCCTGGGGAACTTGGGCAAGAAGGGGCTGTTATACTCAAATCCTGCTTGAGTGATCCTGTGGGAAGCTGATTTGCCACTGTGTAAATGAAATGCTAAATGGGATGGATCCTGTGTCTAATCCAGCATGGTTCTTAAATTCTTAACACTCACCTTGCTCAGACACCACTGTCGTATACTCCCTTGTCAAAGATGAGTTTCCTATTACCCTTTTCTCATGCTGTACATATGGACTTAGATAGTTGTAGCTGGAAGATGCATTCCGGGTCAAGCTTCCACCACTGCTGGGGAAGATGAAATCCATTCGGCCATTCATCATGTGTTCTGGAAAAGACAAGAACATCCATTATCAATATCTGTGGGTATGTTCACCAAGTTAATTAATCTGTGCCAAAAGCCTGCACAAAAGAGCTCCCAGGTGTTATTCCATTTTTAGCTGCAAGTCTAGAATGCACATTTTGGGAGTTTCACAACTACTGTCAGCCTCATAAGAAGCAACCCCCTTTGCACTGCACCAACTAAATCCACAGTGCCTTAGGCAGTATCCGTAAATCAGAGCCACAGGAAGGAAAACAGTGAATCTAATTCAAGTCCACGTTCAAACAACTGTCTTCAGGTTAAAGTCTGGTTGCAGGCCCTTGGAGAAGGATGAGACATGGCTGCAATCAGTTGGTTAGACAACTTAAGACATTCATTAAACAAGTTCACGTAAGACAGGCATGCTCATTGCTATTAGCAACAACAGCTACATGGTGCCTTTTGAACTGTAACATCTGCATGCATTGCAAGTAGTCAGAAGTATTATACCTGTGGAAGTCAAATGTTAGGGATGAGCAACAGGAATGGCCATCACCCTTCTGCCCTGCTTGTGAGTCCTCAGTAGTATCAGGCTAGCCACTGCTGAAAACAAAGGACTCTCACTCACTCTCAGCCTAACCTACCTTACAGGGTTGTTGTTTGGATAAGACTGAGAGGAGAAGAAGGATTATGTAAGCTGCCTTGGGTTATATCCGCACAGGATATAATGATAATAAATGAATAAATAAATACAGTGCAGGACTAGATGGAGGGATGTGTGATAATGGAGAGAGAATGGCCATGAGAAAGCATTGGTCTCATCAAATGGTCACAGGAATGCACCAGATTTCTTTATATATAGTCACACTGGAATGCCTCAGACACAGAGCGACTAGGTAGAGTGGAGCACGCCCTTCATGAACATTAGTCTGTTCTAGAAGACACATCTTCTATATTGCTTGTAAAGTTATCCTGCTTAGTCCATTTCTGGGAAGCTGGAGACTCTGTTGAAAACAAGGAATCCATGCCCGTTCTCATTAGCTTAATTAAAAACGTAGGTTCTTACCATGAATGTAGGTTCATAGCAAGACTGGACAAGTTTAACAGAGTCTTACTTAGTATTAAAATCACACTTTTGAACAACAAAGACCTCCCCAGCACCTGTAGCTCTATGGCAGATCCCTTGAATTACACACATTCTTGACATCTCTAGGTAAGGCTGAAAAACCTCTGCCTGAAACCCTGGATAACGGCTCAGAGAGAGAGTGCTGGGCTGGATGGACCGATGGTCTGACTCTGTATAAGGCAGATTCCTCTGTTCATTCCCCTCACAGCAGGGCCATTCTGTTAGAAACCCTTCCCATTCAGCCCTCCAACTGACAGGGCAAGCAAGCTTGCAAACTACCAATGGTAAAGCTGCTGCCACAATTTCAGAGGATGGCCATAATAGGCAGCACTTTTTTTCAATCTGCCACTCTTGAGAGAATCTATGACTCGTGCAGATGCAGCCTCTTAGCAGCGTCCCGTCCCGTCCCATCCTAGTCTATGCCTGACTAGGCACAACGCATATACACAGACAGGGCACAAGTACATATTGCAAGCAGACTCCACTACAGATAGTCAGAGATTACCATGCCAACACCAGCACCAGAACCAGCACCAACACCAACACAAGCATGTGCCTACTGAAGGGAGGGAGAGGTGGAAACCTGTGTCCAAGCCCTTAGAAGAAAACAAGACAGGACTAGCACTGGGGGGGAGGGAGGAAGCCAGCCAGTTGCCCTTCACCTGGTTGGGGCCGGGGAGTCCCACTCCTTGGTAGACTGCTGCTGGGTGCATCACTGTCCACTAGCTCAGAGTGGGTGCTATCCTCATGGAGGAGACCCTCTGTGTCCGAGGAAAAGCAGCTGCTGTCCGAGTAACGAGGGATCAATTCTGCTGGGAGCCTCCAGGCGACGCGACGAAGGTCCAGCTCGTCCCCCAGCAGCTGCACGTATTTCCACCGAGAGCCTTTTGGAACAAGTGGAAGTACTTGCATTGGCACAGTCAGAAGGGTGAGGAGAGTGAAAAGGAGGCAGACCGCCACCTGCAAGCTACCCACAGCCTTTCTCTGATCTTCTCCTAGCGCTATTATTTACGGGCGAGCCCGAACTCAGCGAAAGCACTTCCTATGGCCAGCTGCTCTTGCACTGTGCCAAGCGAACTGGTGCTTGAATTAGGAGGGGCAGGTGGAGGGCCCATAATGAAATGCACAAGGCGCACTCTCTGACTCTCACCAATTGGTGTTAAATCTCCAATTTAAATGCACACTCTGCAGCATTCTAAAAGCTATTGCTGCCTGGACTGCCACGAAAGAAAAGCGGGGACTGGCTTCCACATGGCCCCTGGTAATTCAGGCACTGAACTGAAAAAAACAAAGCCAAGCAAGCATGTACTTCAGGGACAGTGTCATCTAATTGGCAGTGCTTTAACCTGCCCCTCTTTGAAATATGACTGGTCATGTTTCAAAGCCTGACTGATAATTGGAAACAACAATTCATTTCTCAAACTATCCTACTGGCACAAACTGCATCTTTGAACCTAAACTGCTATCACATGTTGATTTATTTATTCACCCCAGAGCAATAGGACAGCAATATCTCCAGGATGTTTACTCAGGCACTGCATCCACTGAGCTCACCCGGACATGTTTCCATGTTAAGTGTGCACAGGATTTCAGAACAAGAGCAACAAGTGGGAGTAATTTCCCATCCTTCTGTGTTCTGTTACTGACTGAATACATTAAGCGACAGCCAGTGTGGTACAGTGGTTAGAAGGCTGGCCTGGAACTGCAGAGGCCTGGGCTCTAGTCCCCACTTGGCCATACAGCTCACTCAGTGACTTTGAGCCAGTCATCCGCTTCCATCTAACCTTCCTACTACAGGGTTGTTATAAGAGTGAAAGGGAGAGAAGGCTCATATAACCCAGGCCACTCTGCGTTTCTTGCAAGAGGAAAAATGGTATATAATAAGTAAGATATGTAATATAAATTATAACATTATCATAATAAAAATGCCCACTGAAAGTTGAGATTAACTGAACCTTCACATGCATCTTGAGCCTCTGCATACTTCTTTGAAAATAGGCCCTGCTGTGTTCAGCTGAGGACCTATTTACTTTGAAAAAACACACACACATACGACTATGACTTCAGAACCACGTTACTACTAGTGTTACCGAACCCAAAATAAACATTTTAAATGCAAAGCAGAATATGAACATTGATCTATAAAATAAAAGTTCAAAGCGTTACTGGGCTTACTGAAGCACTACTTTTAAGCTGACACAAAAAGGACACTATTCCAGGCCTTTGGGTTGCACAGAAGCTACTCAGAAAAAGCCCCTAGTTCTAACTCCTGACAGGCTGAGAGGTGGGGAGATGAGAACTGAAAACTTTTCAGGGTAGTTCCCTCCAAGCTGAAGACAATGCAGGTAAGATACTAGTATTCATAGCAAGTGGACTAGCTAGTTCAGACAAAGCAACTGATGGGCTGGGAGCAGTCAACTACCCTGTGTAAGACTGTATCCAGAAATAAATACAGGAAAAGATAGGAAGGAACAGCTAACTAGGAAAGTTTTTATGGAAAGGGTAGACATGATGCTTGGGAGAACCCTAGCATAACATCTTGCAGTTGATTTCCAATAGGAACACTTCCATCTGGACTGCTCGGAAGATGGTTAGGTGGGCTGCAAGAAAAATGACTGATTTCTTCTTTGAAAAATACAGCACCAAGAAAGAAACAGCAGTTTTGCTAGGTGACACCCTCACCTTCGGAAATAGAGTCACTTAAATTCCAAAAAGCACGCATTTTACCACATCCACTTAATCTGACTTCTAAAAATAAACGTTTCCAAAAATAATGTTTAGGGTGGCTTTAACAACTGAGATATTTCATAGGGTCCTTTAGAATGGCAGGGAAATGACACTGCCTCAGTTTGGACAATCATTCACATTATCAGACTGTTTCCTACTGCAGTTCTCCCCCTATGGCTTGCCTTGCAGAAGTGACTCTGTGTACTCTGGAATTCACAGGTGCACATAATGTTAGTCTCTTCGGAACTTCCATAAGATACATTCATGCTGATGTTCCCCAAAACAATACTTTGCTGCTTTGCAAGGGTGCCTTACAAAGGGAGACACACCCCACCGTGCTGCAACACTCCTTCCTCCCAGCAAAAAATCCCTATTGGCTTGCTGAGCTCAAAAACAAAGAAAGGGTTTTGGCCATGTATGCAGCTTTCCTAGGCATTTTTGTATTGTACGTTGACTCTTCAGTTACTCATACAATTCCCAAAAGCGGATCTATCATTTCCGGTCTTCTTTGTCTCAAAAATAAACTTCAGTTGGAAAGGGAAGTAACTGCTGCAGGCAGAAAACAGGAAGCAAATATAAAATCTTTCCATTTCATAGCTACACATTTTGCTACCATTTCATGTTTCCGGTGAGATGGGCCAATTCCTGCTCCCCCACTCCCCCCATCATGGGATTAATCATTTCAGAACAAATGATCAGAGAATTAGTGCAATGTAGCTACCACCTGTTATTTGGCATCTTCTCTGAGTTTAATCTGGACCAGAGTTCAGCCCCCATAATCTCTTGTTAATGCTAGGTTCAACCCTGAAACATGCCAAGTGTTATTAAAAGATGGACTTTAAGCAAGTAACATACTAAATAACTACAGCTCTCCAACTTTCTTGCAGCATACAGAGGGTAGAGGGGCAGAAAGTGGGGCTGCCCCAGAGACTTACTTTGTAGAACCAACTGTGCCTCTGTAGAAATTAACCACACAGGTTTTTGAGCCTTCCAAAATTACTGTCATTTTTATTTTTCTTTATATGACTCAGTTGCTGTGTAGAACTGAGTGGATGTTTTGGAGCTATGTGAAGGCCAATACAATGGTCTTTTTCACTGTGATTACATAGGTAATTAGATTCCATCCTCAAGTTTAGGAAAGCAGATTCCGCCAAGGAAAATGAGATATCACAACAAACTCAAAGATGAATGTCCAAAGTAAATGAAACTGCACTGGAGACAGCAGGAAGTTTTGCTCAATTTAAAGAGCAGGGAAATAGATGCTGTGATTCAGACATTTATGTGCACTCAGATTTGCACCCCCACTTTTTGCATTTTTGCATCATCACAGCAAAATGACAAGAGAGGCCACTCCAATGGAGCTGGGCCAGTAAGTGGGAGCAAGCCCACGATTGCAGCAAAAGCTCTGTACTCACTTTAGATTCCAGGGTTGGCTTGACTGCAATTCACTGAAACTTTTGCTGCATCATATGAGGCAACTGAAGCACAGCTGCAGAAAGGCACTGATTGACCCATATGGCTACTAAAGGTTTACACACAACCTAACAGGAAATAGCCACTGCTGAAGTTCTGTTCAATGGAAGCACTGAAATGTGAAACCTTGGTATAGCATGGCCAACCAGATAAACTCCGACAGCAGTACAACTCAAGGTAACTTACCAAAAATGATACTCGATGATCAATTTTAACCACAGCTGTAGCTTTCAGGTCCGCAAAACATTATTGAACACATCAACCATTCATAAGAAAATAAGAGGATCCCTGCTGGATCTAAACTATCTAGCTCAGTATCTCATTTTCACAGTGGCCAATCATATGCCTACCGGGAAGCTCACAAACCAGATTAGAAGGCAATAGGCCTCTCCTGTTATTGTTCCCCAGCAATTGCAATTTAGCAGCAGGGTGCCTCTGATTATGGAGATAGCAGTATTCCCAGGACTGCTATGGCCACACTCCAACATACAGATGTGTGTTTGGTCTGCTGATTAAAGTCTGCCAGCTTTTTTATCTGGATGGCAATCTCAGCACTGAACAATCTCCTCTGTCCTCAACATTCTCCCATACAATGTTCCAGATCACATCATGATTTCTTTGCCTTGAAATACAGGCAGTGAGGGAATAGGTGGGGTGTGATAGAATTGTTTGCCTTCTTGCTAGAGAATTGCTTTGGAAGGTCAAATAATTTTGTACTGGGCTTTTGGGTTTTCATCTTACATCCTCTCCTCTCAAGTCCTTAAGAAAGGTAATCTGTGTCTTAAAAAGGAAGATCACCAGCAGACAATTCTGCAAACTGAAATAATGCTCACTGTACCAGAATCATCCGAGACACTGGGATGCTTGCTGCCAGCTGGAGAACGTAATACGTCTGTGCTGTACATCAGGTAGCTGTCATAGTCCTCTCTTCCTTCAGCGTCAATTATTGGCACGTCAGGGATGATGGGAACTGCAACGAAGTAGAAGACATCAATAGGCACCTCGATGGGGCACTTCCACATATCCAAGCACAGTAAGCCCCAACCACATTTTAGTCCTAATGGATTACCAGCATATGCTTTGATCGAGTGCTTGCAGCATCATATTCGATCCTGAAGGATGGGGAATAGTTTCACCATGGCAGAGGTGAAGGTGGGTAGCCCGTCATACTTTAAAATAACAATCAAATAGAACATGTACGCTGGTAGTAGGGTTGCATGATAGGACAGGGCACAGCTAACACAGATCTTTCCTGAAAGGTTAAAAACATGTTCACCGCCTGACGCTTGTCACGCAGTCAGATGCTTGGGGCTCTCATGCAACTATATTCCACAGGCTGCGTTTCCCAGGTGCCTTTGAAACCTGCTCAGAAAACCCTTGGGTTATGGGGTGACATAGAAGCACAATGAAATGAAATGATGAAATAGCACACCTTATGCAATATCTATGGAGTGAAAACTCAAGGGAAGACATCTTGAGCGTGACTACATGTATATGGACTGCTAGGAAGATAACTCACTGGACATAGGGCGCTTGGGTTGTGTGGCCAAGTTAATAGTAGCTTCTCTTTCAGGCCCCCAGCCAGCACCATTTTTGGCCTTTACAGTGTAGCGATAGGGCTGCGATTCTCGTAAGTTTTCAATTAGAACCATCCGCTTCTTGGCATCTTCTACCATGACTTTTCGTACTGGTCCAATGGGTCCTGTAAACAAATGTAGATGCACATTTTCCCTTACAATTGCTGCAATTTTCTCTAAGCATTTTCCTACACAACACTGTTAATCAACTGTATCTAATTTTGGTTTTGTTGCAGAATTGAAATCCAAGCATTAAAAATATTTGTGTCCCACCTTTCTACTATATAACTCTAAGTAGCATAATAGTATAAGAAAATAGTGCAAATATAAAAAAGGAAATCACATTTTCTTATGTCACAATTTTATACTGTGTTTTCCCTGCTTAAAAAAACTTGCTGAAAATGCTCAGTACACACAGCAGTGAAACTGGAGGTCACGACACTTGTCTAAAGACCTTGTAAATACCCATGAATAGGGAATGATGAGTGCCCAATAAATGCATCATGCAGAACACCCTGATGTTAATCAGCTTCTGTGTTCACCTGGTTTTCTTCTTTCTCTGCTTTCTGACTGATTAAACTGCCAAAAGGTGGCACTGCAGTACAGTGAAACTGCAGATAGGTGTATGCTTGCTTCACTCTGGGTTAGCATGATATTTATATAATAGTTCATTATCCTTGATCTAAAAACAGTGTGGAAATGCCTGGAGAACTCAGAGGGACACCCTGGAGGATCATGTATTGCCCCTGCAAACTTCCATGAGCAAAGAATCACAAGCACACAATAAATGCCCCATGTGGGGAAACACTAAATGCACTCAGCTGAACAACTGCAAAAAGGCACCAAGTGGCTCCGCCAGGAATTTTTGCTTTCTAGCTGCTGGTAGCATGATAAGGATATAGCAAATGGGATTCAAGCTTACTGTTTCCCTCATTGACAGGTCCATAGCCAACTTCATAGGCCGTGATCACCCCATTAGTCTCAGCAGGCTCAGCCCAGCTCAGCTGTGTCACGGTGGAGGAGACTACATTGAAAGCCAAACGTCCAGGCTCACTAGGAACTATAAATATTGGAAGCAAACCAACAACTTAGACTCCAGAGGAAAGACAATTCTTAGATACACTGCATGTAATGAATGGAATGTTAACAGCAGCACAACTGGATGAGATCGATACCCTCCCAACATAAATTTGGTACAATTATTTTAAAGCAGATCCTAGAATGCACTCATTCTAAAAAATAACCTAGTGCTTCTGGATGTTCTCCATGTCCTGGATACTAAATAAATTTATTTTTTTCTGTTGGCTACTGTTTTTCCGGGGAGAATGGTAACTTGTGGGAACAAAAATCTTCTCATCCAAAATGTTAAGATGGATGGGAAATGGGTCTTGGAACTGTCTGGCCTTCTTGCTGCCTCATCTTCATTCTCATTCATTCTAAACCTCTGATCAGCCAAAGAGAAGCCTAAAAGAACAGATGCTTTTCCACCTCATGAGTCAAGTTCATACACCATCCAGTCCCATTCATCCCTTTTGTTCCATTCTGAACGCCATGACCCCTCTCCCTTCTGACTGATGCTATGTAAAGTTGATAAAAACTAGCCAGCAAGTTCAATAAAGAGGTTTAGGGTGCAACACTATGCATACTAAAGTGGAAAAAAGTCCTGCAACTATAAGCATGCTCCAGTTAGGACTGTTTTCTGTCTAAACATGCAAAACATGGAGCCCTAAGTGAAATGTTGTCTCGTTAGCACTTTACTGGTGCCAGCAGAAATGCGGGTAAAGGAATCACCTTCCTTTATTATCAAGCCGTGTGCCAACTTACCATCCTCAAGTGTGCGGCAATGAACCACTTCAGAGTAAAGCCCTTCACCCATAGCATTGTAGGCACAAGACTGCATCTCATAATCACAGTAGGGGTACAGATTCGTTAACTCTGCTGATGGCACTTTGGAGTCAAGTAGGTGAGCTTCAGATTCAGGATCCCCCTGAATCCAGTATTTCACCTGCAGAACAAATAGAAGCCCCTTTGCTTTCAAAGTCTTGCTTCCGGTACTGAGAAGTTGGAACCATGGCAAAACTAGGAATGCCCCAGTTAAGAAATTTTCTAATAAGTCATGTAATGCAATACATCCACAGAATGTAATGAACGAATGCCTCCCACTTCAGAACATCCACATGGTTTGTGAACCTCTGAAGATATACCACAACTCTGGAGTGCTATACCAGAGTTTTACAAGCCATTCCTTTGTCCGATTTACGGAAACTGATTTAATGTAGCCTCCTGTTGCATATGACTGTTTAGAAAAAACAGTGATCATAATCCCAAACTCACAGGACTTAAAAAAAACAAACAAACAGGGGCATCATCTTCAAGTCTGTTTTCTTTAATTTGGGAGAGTGGGAGCCCCTTGGATAGATTTCTGACATCTAGCTGCCACAATACCAGGTGCTCTTTAAATTGAGTTTTAACAGGACAATGATGGTTTTTCAGCTGGGACATACACAGCCATATCTCACAGGCAGAAACTATCCATTGCCTTTAAAAATCCCATTTTAAAGGGGACCCAGTATGGGAGAAAAGTGACTGTAGGATACATTAAGTTAAAGGGAGGGCCTCACCTTAGAGCGATGGCGGGCACTTGTTTTACCATTGGCTGTACTGACTAGGGCTGATGGAAGCTGTAGGCCAAAATACCTGGAGGGCCACAAGTGACCCCCTTTGTTTTAAAAGAAGCAGTCCAGTGGTGATGTAGCATGAGTGAAGAGCGGCAATGACCTGCCCTCAGCTGACATGACACAGGAGGCAGCGGGATTGTGCCAGTGAATTTGACCAGTCTCCACTGTAGACCCTGACCCTCAGCACATGGGTAAGCAAGATTACACCCCCAACTGTAATTAAAAAGTTGTCTGGTCCCTATTGCATTGTTATCCATACCTTATACCCTACAGGTTTGCCAGGAGGTGGAATCCAGTTGAAGCGGATCTTCCGAGAGCTCAGCGCTTGAGCGTTTGGATTAATGGGAGCGCCAAGAATGCTCCTGGGAACCTGGCCTAGGCCTGCTCCTGTCAGCGTGCCATCCACAGCTTCTGCAGTGAGAAGAGGAAACAAAGTGTGTGATTTTGCTGGCAGGTGAGATTCACCCAATTCTTTCTCTGGGTAACCCACCTAACAGGTGCTTGGATTTAGAAGTACATTGGATAAAAGAGTTTGTTGGAGTTAAATGCTGGCCAGCATAATCTTTTGGTTAATATAGGTCAATGATGTTAAACAGTTGTTTATTATTTATGTCTGCATGATACATAGCACTTCATGGCTCGTTGATTTTCACAGAAGTAGTATGACTTACATAAGGAAGATGTGATTATATAGGTGATGAAGGCTATGTATGCCCTTTCTACAGAATAAAGACACTAAAGTATCCCCAGCCCTGACTCTCATTAACATGCACTGTTATTGTTTAGAATATATCTATAAACTTCTTCCTTTAGTACAACTTTTAATTCATCCCTCATTCTTTAAGAATTTTTCTAAGATTTTGATTCATTTTAAAATAAGTATGGATCTGGTTTTTAAAAACAATAAAGAATCTGGAAACTGTCTCTATGCTAGAACTCACAAATGTTATTAGAATTAAAGATTGTAGACAGGGAAACAAAAGCTAATTGTAAAATGGTCAATTTTGGAATAAGAAAGAATAGAAGAGCGTGCAACCTTATGATGGACTGTAAGAAGGAAAAGCTTTTTGCCTTATAATACAAATACTTATCAATGATTGAAAAAAATAATATGACTGTACAATGGAAATTTATATAAAAACTAATTTGAGAGTCTATCAATCACAGTCAAATAAGAATATGATAATAATGGCACTTATTCAGTTTTTAGATACTATTATTAGATAATAATAACTGTAATATTGTAAATAGTAGAGTTATGCTGCCTTTTCCATTGCATAAGTGTGCAAGCACTAACAGACTGCCTTATGAACCTAGCCATTTCATGAAGTTGTGCAAATGGAACTTTAGTTGGATTCTCCCCTTGTGCATAGTTTGGAACTTGGTTGTACCCTTCACCATCACTACAATTTTTTTTGTGTAATGACATTGTAATGACAGTATAATGACATTGTTGGATACAACCAAAAGGATCATGTGGCATCTCAAAGGCTAACTATGTCATGTGCTTTTGTGGACTAAAGCGCATTGCATCAGAAGCGAGCACTTTTGCCTCAGTGCTGAACGTGGTGCAGTGGTTAAGAGCATGGGACTGGGACTCAGAGGATCCGGGTTCTAGTCCCCGCTCAGCCATGGAGCCAACTGGGGGACTTTGGGCCAGTCACAGACTCTCAGCCCAACCTACCTCACAGGGTTGTTGTTGTGGGAATAAGATGGAGGAGGAGAATGATGTAAGCTGCCTTGAGCCCTTTGTAGGAAAAAGGCAGGATATAAATCACAATATAAATATAAATAAATAAATAAATAAATAAATAAATATCCTTTTATTGTGGTCCACTGAGTCACCATTTCTACATATGGTTCTATATCACTAAGACAGTCAAAATATACTACTGGATGAATATGGTGCAGCATGTTCAACTGCAGCTGATAAAATAGAGGGAAAGAGTACAACATAAACCAGCTAAGGTTCTTTGCAAGAGGAAAAACTGTGGATTATATCATTATATTGCGTTTGTTTTAGAAATCACAGTTTTCTTGTCTAGAGAGGTTTAAATGTCCAAACAGTTTTGTCAAATGATGAGATACACAGAGATCAAGATGATGCTTCTCATCAGAAGCTCACCTGGATCAGCGATGGTCACAGTGGTTTGAGCATATTTGCCAACCTTTGCACCAAACCGGGGGCTGATGAGATCCACTGAGAACTGCTTCGGCTGCTGATTGCGAAGCAGGGCATCTATCTCGGTCAGCTCCAGCAGCTTCACCTGCACTTCCTTCTGCTTCTCCCCAGGGAGGAAGACCAAGTCTCCTTCTACAGGAACATAATCCTTGGGAAGTGGAAGAAAGAACATGCTGAACAACATGATGATGTACCCCAACTATTTTCAACATCCTCCCAACTATTAAAAAAATGTAAACATGCACATCACACTGTTCTGGTGCAAAAGCACCACCCAAGGACCCAATGCACTTACACTTTTAAAGGTTACACTCTAATCAGAAGAACACTTACACAGGTCTACCATAAGAGCACACGGGTTTTATTTCATGCCACAAGCACAAGATTGAGTGTTAGACATTTAACTGCTCTGGGCACTGGCACCCACATCTATGTATTTGAACTAGTAATTGCAATAATTTGCATTTCAGCAGTAACGGCTTTTCTACACAAGGCATTTTATGTGTTCATCATTCTCTACTCATGGTTCTTTAGACAATGTCATGGCCTTCCAGCTTCATTTCTGCCTCTAAAAAGCCATATTTGGTGAGGTTATTTTGAGCAGGGAAAATACAGCATTTAATTGTGCAAGTGAAAGAAACTACTCTTTTAGTGGTATAATTGTGCTAGTCTGCTTGTTTGTGTGTTTATTTAAAGCATTTATATACCATCTACTAGCATCTCAGGACGATTTTATTTATTTATTTATTTATTTATTAAAACATTTTTATGCCGCCCCATTCACCGAAGCCTCGGGGCGGCTTACAACAATAAGAGCCTCGGGGCGGTTTTTACAATAAGAGCAACACAAAATGACATGGAGCACAGCATCCAATACAATATTGTTGCACACAGAGGTTCTGTAGCAGAAAACTCTTTTTGTGTAGTGCTCAGATCTCAGCTCTGCAACCAAACTGAAAGAAGACAGAGCAGATTATCAGCGGACTGGCAGCCTCATATGTGGCTTCATTTTTCTAGATACAACATCACAAGTAGTGGTGCTTATGTCCCCTACATGCATGGGATCACACTGGGGTGGCTTGAGGGCTCTGCATCTTGGTGATTGCAGCTCTCTCTTGCTTATGGCAGCTTCACAGTTCTTACCTTGCCTCCCTGGGCGGTGATGTCACGTGTCCTGTATGTTATCTGGGACTTTCCATTCTCCAGAATCTCACGAACAACAGGGATCTTAGCTAGCTGGTCAAAGCGGCTATAGGAATAACCTGGCTGCAGGAACTGAATGATGCTGTTGGCTAAAGGGTTACACAGACAGAGATGGCAGTAGTAATAATGGGGATAATACTTGGTTAAATATAGGACCTATATTTAGGCACTACACAAAAATATTTCACAAGAAAGCTCTCTCAAAGGGCAAAATGCACACCTCACTATGACCCTAATAGGCTTCCTATCATTCCACTGAGAACTGTTTCCAAAACAGGAAGTGCTAGACTGCATCACAGGTGAGTCTCACCAAGATTAAGAAACACAGGGAGAGTAGTAAACATCCCAGGGAGAGCAATCCTATGGTTCCTGGAAGAGAGTCTCAGGAGCATAGAATGGCTCAGTTGGCTAGTGCTCTGGCCTTGGAAGAGGAGTTGGAGATCCATCCCCCTCCTCTGCCCCTTCACAGCATGAAGAAAACTGCACTGGCTGCCCCTCTAGGGTCAGAGAAACAGAACCGGAGAGGAGGAAACAGGTGTTCCACTGGGTTGGAAAAGGAAAAGGCCAAAAAGGTCAAGGGATTCTTTATGCTGAGCCTCCTCCCTGCTCTCAGTCAGAAGAAAGGTCTGTCTGGGGGGTGTGGAGGAAAAGAGCACCTCTGCTGCTGCTCCTGCTCTGCTGTGAAGCCAGCAAGGCACATGGAGCTGCGAAGTTTGGGGGCTTCTGAGGAGCAGGGGCAGGGTCCAAAGTTCATGCCCAATGCACCTTTTGCAATGCCAACAAGCCATCCACCCCTAAAAGGAGCACGAGAGGTGGGACGCCAGCAGCCTCTGAGGCTGGACTGGGCTGGGGTAAAAGGAAGCAGAAGAGAGTGGGTGCACTGCCGCTTCTGCACCAAAGCCGTTCCATGCTTGAGTTCATGCAATGCCCCCCTCCCCGCCCGCCCCTGTGGCAGGGAATGTTCACTTAAAAGGAAACCACCAGGTTAAGGACATGACATAAGACTCTTCACGTGGCTCCTTTTCATGGTAACTCTCATTATGTTTACTTGCAAATACAAGTGCTACATTGGTGCAACTTGCTCTCACTCCACTGCACCAGGGAGATCACCACCAGGATGGCTCCATAGCAGCTCAGAGACCCTGAGGCAAGCAGGTTGTAGCACATGACTCTCTACAGCAGGAGCGCTGAGCCTCTTTCAGCCTGGGGAGTGAATTCCAGAAGCTTTGGAGGGCCACATTCCAATGGTGAGAGTGGCTGCGAGCAAAAGGGGCAGGGCCAAAATTACAAAATAAACAAACAACGCCCTGCCTGCAGCATAGTGTAGCTTAAAGCTCTTCCTGCCAGTAATTAAACCTTGAGAGAGGCATTTCAAACCTTTTAGAACGGGGGAAAGAACAGCACAAAACTGGGATTTATATATATATAAAATGACTGGTGGTGGAGGAAAGAGGTGATGCCGGAAGAGGAGCGTGTGGGCAGCTGCAGGAATCCTGCAAGGCCAGGCTGGGAAGGGGAACCCAGGCGGACTGGTTTGAGACCCTAGCTGTGAGGTTCTGCACCCCTGGCTCTAGGATAATCCATGCCGTTCTTGACACATGTGAATGAAACATGGCTGAAATCCACAATAAACCCCATGTTAACCTGCAACACAGAGACAGGGATACTGTAGCTCTTTATATCACTTTACAGAAATTAATTTAGTGGTCCAAGGAGTCATCAGACTGCCTGTTGCCTAGACAGAGACCCCCGTGGAGAAAGCTGCCTGTGTTGACTGTGTTATCACCCATCAAAACAAGCAAGAAGTTTATGCTAATCACCGCCCTTGTGCACTGTCACACCACTCACATTTTTACCTTGCTCTTTTATTATGGTGATGTTGACCAGCCGGCGTTTAATCTCTGCAGTTCCCACAGGGACATCCGTGGCCTCCACTTGCAGCTGCTTTTCGTCGTCATCCTCCTCCCTGATGAATAGGGGAACCCGGACATCCACCAGCTCCACTCCTTCCTGAAACTCCACCATGCCTTGGGCATCTAGCATTGACGTGGATGAGGGCAACAGAAGCAAGAAGAGAACTTTTTAGAGGGAAGGGGAGCTTTGGCTTTCATTAGTGGCCTTGTCCTCTGTGAATTAGCAAACCTGTGCCTGCCTAGACCATATCACTTCTGATTATAGGTAGAGTCTCACAATAAAAAACCAAGCTGTGAATGAAGAGGTGAAGGGAAAATGCTTTTCTTCACAGCAAGTTCATTTTCTATATGGAGAGATTGTTTTGTATGAGAAAGCATTCCACACCCCCCATCCCCGCTACCACCTTCTGAAGTGGTACAGGCCAGACACAGGTTTATCTCCTCAGGGAGAAGTAAAAAAAAATGCAGCACCTACCTTGGTCAGAGATTACAGTGTAATAACCAGGTGACACTTTCAGGTCACTGAAGGCCTCTTGTGAGACGTGCTTCTCTGTTATTTTCACAATCTCATTCTTAGCTGAACGTGAGGCAGGGAGCACTGTGTCCACAATGGTGTGGTTCTGCCTGGAGGAAAGCAGAAGAAGGAGGATCACGTCTCTGCTTAGGGCACCAGCCACATTTTTGCGCATCACTGTCACTTATTTATTTATTTTATTTTTCATTTTATATCCTGCCTTTTTCCTACAAAGGGCTCAAGGCAGCTTACATCATTCTCCTCCTCCATCTTATCCCCACAACAACAACCCTGTGAGGTAGGTTGGGCTGAGAGTCTGTGACTGGCCCAAAGTCACCCAGTTGGCTCCATGGCCGAGTGGGGACTCGAACACGGATCGCCTGAGTCCCAGTCCCATGCTCTTAACCACTACGCCACACTGGCTCTCCCACTGGCTCTCACTGGGTGTCATGCAGCACCCAGAAGGAATGTGGTGCTTGTCCTGAAAGAAGTTTCCCACCCACTGGGTCAGGCCGTTAGGAAAATAAATTCACTGCACACCTGTGGACACATGTGATTTTCAAACGCTGGTCTGTACACCAGAGCCAGCCTACAGGTCACTTCATGTCTACAGGTCACTTGCTCCGGTAAGGTAGCAAGAACTCTGCGCTGCTTCATGCCAGAAGAAAATCATGTTTGCAACCTATCTGCAAAGTGACTGCCACTATGCTATTGGAAGGGCAATGTAGATCCACCACAAGTACCAGCCAATTGCAGTTCCCAGGCACATGCATTTTGGCAGTCACGTGTCTCCTTTTCTAATGTCCCTGCATTAATCAAAGTGGAAGGTGGAAGCAAGCAAGCTGCAAAGACATGGGAGGGAATATCTGGGCAGCAATTCTGCTCACACAGTACTCTGCAGGAAGCTATCAGCACGGCTTGGGAAAGACTAACATCAATGTACTTCCTTTCTCATGTACGGCAGGAAGAGGTGAAATGGCAAGCAAGGAGAGTCTCCTCGGAGCAATTGTTATAGTGCAGAGAACAGATGAGCCAGTGGTAAAGTTGTAAAACAACTGCACAATTTCTGAATAGAAGGTGAAAACTTTCACCAAAGAAGCATAATGATGGAAAGCAGTCATATATCCACACCTGAATAGAAATAAAACTCTGTGCTTACCTTTTTCCAGCATTTGGTTGTAACCTAAGGGGAAAACAGATGAAATATACAACATAAATACATGAGGAGCACTGAAGAGCAACAGCTCTGAGTGTCCCTACACACTGAGATTCAGTGGGTGCCACTCATGCGCAGGCCACTCATAGAATGTCCTCTCTTGGAATGGTCTGCCTGGTTGCCTACTTTTCAACTTCAGGCAAAGACCTTTTTGTTCACCTAAACCTTTTAAGAGTATGTTTAACCTCTGCTTGTTTTTCAAATGCTATGCTTATGCTTTTAAAACAATATTTTAATTCTATTGTTTTTGATGTGCAGGCTGCCATGAGAGCATCAACTTTAGGGTGAATCATAAATTGAATAAATAAAATTTAAAAAGTGTATCCTTCGAGGAAGCTTTGAAAACTGGCTAGATGTGACTTCTACAATCTTAAATTCCTTATATTTTTCCTTATAGCAGATTTTTTGTCACCTGTAAGAGGAAGTGACTTTTAAATACAAAGATGCCCTCTAATTTTCATCACGTAAGTCATTCACTTTCATCCATTTTCCTCTTTTAGAAAACGTGTGGATGAAGTTTCGCAACCTCTTGCTGCATGCCTCCCATTCCTTCCCAAGTCACTCACCTGAATTTTGTCTGCTGGAATTTGTGAGCACCTGGGACAGTTCTGTAAATCTCATTCAGCTGTGAAAAACAAGTGAGAGGGAAAGGGAGTCAGCAATTCAGAATTTCCAAAGGAAATTCCCCAACATGCATGAAGCTGGTGGATAAGCTTCCCCTCACCTTTCAAACCAAAGTTTGTATTAAAGGCTTTAGGTCTCCAAATTTGCTCCCTTGCAGGGTTAGTGTTCAGCAGCTGTGACCATAAGTTGTACCTTAAATATACCAGTTAAGTATATTTATAGACCACCCAATAGCTGAAGCTCTCTGAGCAGTTCACAAAATAAAACCTAAAACCATGCAATATAAAGCCTTAATAAAACACTGGGAAATATCCAACCATGCACAGCTGATAATGCATTGTATTGGCAGAAACCAATCCTTGCACAATGTTGCACTTGCCAGCACGCTGAGTTTCCTGAGAAACCCATTGTGGTAGTCAGTGCTATTAACCTTGCACAAAATTGGTTTCCACCAGCATCATGTCAACAGTTCCAGTGGGAGCACATTGTTGGATCCTTCCCAATCTAAACAGCCAAAATGTTTAAAATGCAACAAAAGCAAAGCAAAGCAAAAGCCAGCAGCAGTGCAGGATCTAAAAAACATTTACACCATTAAAAAAAACCTGAACTCAAATCCAGGAAAACAAAACTAGCACTGGCATTGATGTGCTTTCCCCACAACCTTCAAAAACAACCACAACCAGCAGTGTTACTCCCTGCTCCTTACATTCTCCTCCACATCCTTCTGCAGCTGCTCATGTTCACGGCTCTCTGGTTTTGCTAGGTTTTGAGTGAAGAGCCGGGCCAGCCTGAGAGATATTCCATATGGGACTGAAAACAAAGAAAGGCATTCATCAGACTTGCCCTCTCCATTGACTGTCAGGAAGAGACATTTCCAGTGAACTATGCTGGACATGAAAGCATGGAAGAAACTGAAGTGGCTACGTTTCATCCTGCCCACTCTTGTAAAACTGACACTCACCCACGTCCTTGGGATTGAGAGCGAAGGAAGAGAAATCTTGCTTGTGCACATTGTTTTTGATCTTCCAGTGAACTACGTCCCTGCCTTTCAAATTGCCGCTGCGTACCATGGGAGTATCCAGGTGGTCCGAGGTCATGAGACTTTGCCTGAGCAGATAGTGGTCTTCCTTGAAACCAACAGTACGGCCTTCAGAAAAGAAAGTGGAATTAGAATTTACACTCCAAGGGATTGGTTCCAACTTTATTTTTTTTCCATACCACAGACAGAAAAATGGAACAGCATGAATGGACTGCTAAAACACCTGTTTAGTTCCCCCAAGCAGAGTATCCTGGCATTTTTGCTAGGAGGCAGCCACTTCTGCTTGGAACATGGAATCCCTGGTAATAGATGACTGCTAACAAGCCCTAGTATTGTAAATTTTTGCTATTCTTCTGCTAGCCTCTTGTGACTTACAGTCGTCTAAACATTCAGGATGCTTACATAATCCCTTATTTATGGGTCTTATGTCCCCACCACATATCTCAAGGTTAATATTTAGTATTCTAAAATATATGTGTTAAAAACACGAATGTAATACAGAGTACATGACCCAGAGAATTCCTTACTGACCATGGTTCCCTACAGTTTACATTCATATGGGGATATCCTCCTGTCAGATGTGTACAGAGCCACTCAGTCTGGGTGCTTGACTTTTAGAGAACTGATGGAGAATACAACCCAGAAGGTTGTATTCCCTAGCCAACTATCCATTAGCCAACTTGACTATCCACTAGCCAACTTCCATCATGCAACATGACTGAGAAGTAAGAAATCTGCCTTCCTACAAGATGAGTTTAGGTGGAACTTCCCAAAAATACATACTTCAAGGGAAGTAAAAAATTGTACTTCACTGTTTCATACAGAATCTGCCACTTATATTTTCTTGTGTGAAAGAGATCCCACGGGTGTTTAACATCTCTATTGTGTCCCAGAGTGGTATTGTCAAGGTCTGGCAAGAATAGCCCTGGATCCACAGTTTGTTTTACAGAACAGACCTAAAAATTCTGCTCCGGCCCTGACTGTCTAATTCATGTTGAAAGGCCAAATAAGTCAGTGTAATGCATTGCTCTGATGGCATAATATCCCAAATTGACATCTCCAAAAAAAAAAAAAAAAAAAAAAAACCTTGAGTAGTCAGGTTTGGAACATCCTTGCCTGCCTTAAAACCATGGGAGCCTGTTGCCGGGCAGGTCTCAGGGTGACAGCACGGGGGAGAGGAACCATCGGCCTGCACTGATTGGGGCACCTCTCATACTCAGTATAGCACCTTTCAGCATCTCAGCTTTGTATTAGCCTGCCAACAAAATCCTGATGCAAAGCAAACCACTCTAATGCTACTATCGCCCATCCCGGAAGAGATGTACCTCGTGCACAGCAGGGGAGCAGGGCCAGGCAAGCCTACGTGACAAACGGAGAATAAACATAGTTACTGGAAAACCCATTACAGCATGAAGATGCAAAGAGCCTGAGCCCCACCAGGTGAAACTACAACAAAGGATTTGGCAAAGAATATATGCATGGTGGAAATAATCTAGATTTATTTAATTACTGATAGAATAGATCCGTCCTGTAAACCCAAGCAGCAGTAGTTCAGCAGCTTTTCAGATATACCGGGGGTGCCAAAAAATGTATACACATTTTACGAGATGTTATCCATGTGTTACTTTTTGAAGTTGAATTGAATTACGGTAGCAATGTGTAGTGTGGAGATTGCTCAAAAGATGGCGGTACTTTGGGAAGAAATTGAAACGGCATGTGCAGCGATACAAGTGGACATTTTGGTCAGCGTTGCTCAAGCAGCAATTCACCATAATCGGAAGTGTCTGGACACTGATGGCAACCACTCTGAGCACCTCTTGTAATTGCAGAAGTCAAATGTGACTTGTATTCATCTTTTGTTATTAGTATATATTGAGTATTACAATTTTAATACAGTTTTTTTTCCTTTCTTGAAATGTGTATACACTTTTTTGCCATTCTCTGTATTTAAGAGAATAAACACATGTTCACCAGTAGACAGCATCGCAGAAGCCAGGTTTTTGTTTTTATTGTGCTTAGCCTGTGGCCTCTAAGCAAAAAAAATTATATTTCGTGTGCCTTAGCAAACCTGAATACTACAGAGACAAAATGATTTGAGGAGCCAGGGCTGTTCTGTGGGATACACAGAATATAGCAGCAGTATCAGAGACAGCAGCAGGACACCTGTGGCAAGGGTGAGGAAAGGCAGACGGAGGAACTAGGTAACACAAGGGAAAACAGACGGAATAAAATATACAATATTTCCAGACAGATAATTTACCCATCAACTTCTAGAGCAGAACTGAACCCTGCCTTACAAATGCAGACCATCCAATCTGCAGCAAGTTCCAGGCACTTTGGATTTACTGGAGAGGCTGAGCTCTGACCTGGAACTTGGCACCTTTCAAGAGCTCTGGCTTCCTGGTGGCCCCTCTGGTATTTCAGGCCAGAAGAGATGGGTGAACACAGGGTCCTGAACAGCTGTGAGGTGGTTCCTCAAGGGTCTACAGCTGCCTGCTTGGCTATTGTAGGCTACTAATCCTTCTGGGGATAGTGAAACATCCCCAGCGCTCCTCTAAGCTCACAAAGGTGCATGTAAATATAACACCACTTCCTCCAGGTCAGTATCTCAGTCTGTATTGGAGGAGCACTGAGGAGCAGAGGCAGCTGGTGAGAATGGTGATGAAAGGGTAGACTTGGTGAAGAAGGAGATGCACTGACAGGGTCCTCTCCAAGAGCCTAGAGAGCTGGCAGTGGATGGAGCCATGGCAATACAGCATGGCAAGGTTCCACATGAAGCACCTGGGAGAAACCACTTCAAAATCTTTAGGTGGTACAGAAAATAACTGGACAATCCAGCCCCACACCATACTCCAGCCTTGGCTAGATCCAGCCCATGCCATCAACTACTCTCCTAGTATTCATCTTACTTACCACAGGGTGGAAACGCGGAGCTTACCTTGCAACAAGCACAGAACTTCCAGCACAGCAGCAGCAGCAACCCCAGGAGAAGCATCAGTAAAATGAGTAAGGGGATAAGCCAAAGGAAGCTTCCTGGTGGACACTCTATAATGACAACAAATGCAAAACCTTGGTAGTTAAGCAGTGGGCAACAGGAATCCAATGGAACCTGTGCAGGGAAAAGTATGGGGGTGAGAGGCAAAGGTGAGGGAGTGGACTGTAGCTCAGTTCTAGAGCGGCAGCTTTGCAGGTCAAAGTTCCAGGCCCAATCCCTGCCATCTCCAGTTAGGGCTGGGAGGGATGCCTGCCTGAAACCCTGCAGAGCCACTGCCAGTCAGTGTTGCCAGTGCTGAGCTATATGGACCAAGACTTTGACTTAAGTCTACTTCCTGAGAGGCAGAACTTGGTCACTTCCCAGTCTGATTCAGTTCATGGAGTCTAGGAATACAAGGAATAGAGCCAGTCAAGCCTTTGGCTCCTAGGCTGAGCAACTGCATGACTACAGTTTGGATGTGTGTGTGAGAGGGGACCTGGCTGTAAGGAACAGCAGCTCCTGCACCTACCAAGAGCTCTCTTGCTCTAGTCTTGCAGGTCTCATCCTTTCTAGGAAATAACTGATTACCTTTCTTCCTTTGCACAACAATGGTGCCATTACGCTGTTGGTCGACATCCTCTTTCTTGGTATAGCGGTAAACACAATCATCCTCCTCATCTTGGAAAGAACAAATTGTATTTATGTCGCTCTCTGTAGAGATAAAGAAAGGAGATATAATGTGACCAGTGCAACTTCCAGAATCAAGGCCTTATTGGCATCAACACAGAAAAGGACTATCTAGGTGACTCAGGATGGAGAACCCATGAGCTGTTCTAGAGTTGCTATCCATGGTGGACTGTTGTGTCATCTTAACCCAGACAATGCAACTCATGGGTGAGCCGTAAGTGTGTGTTGCTTGGTGAGAGTGGCAAAATCTTTTTCTGCTCTTAACAAGTGGCTCCTGGGTGAGCCCTACTGCCAGCAGCCATTTGCAAAATGTCCCAGCAGCACTTGGGCTGCTCTCTGAAGTCTTCCTCTGCCTCTGGCAGCATGGAGCAGCCATCCTTACTGCCAGCTTGAGAGTAGAGCTTCCAAGGTCTACTCTCCAGTCCCCGGAAAGGATAGCTGGGGTCCACTTCTTGCTGTGGGGGGGGGGCACAAACCCTCAGCATCGAGGTGTGGACATCCTTGCCTGCGGCCCAAGAACGGACCTCTCAAGCTGCAGGTGCAGAGCCCTGGTGTGGGACTCCCTTGTGCTTGGGGCGGTGCCTTGGAGCAAACGGAGCGGTGGGTGGGAGGTGGGGATCCATTCTGCGGTGCTGCCCCACAGCAGTGCAGAGTAGATCAAGCACCTAGCCTTCTGCTCCAGAGGTCAACTCCCCGATCCTCCCCCATCTTCTCCCTCACTCTCCAGGGCACAAGCCCTATTTGTGCTATGGGGACAAGGAACAAAAGAACAAAAGAAAAGCCATGCTGGATCAGACCAGTGGTCCATCCAATACAGCACTCCACTCACAACACAGCAAAACAGCTGCCCACAGGATCCTTCAAGCAGGGTGAGAGCAAGACCTTTTCCTGCCCAGGCTCCTCAGCAACCAGTGAATGCAAGCATGCTGCCTCTGGTGAAGGAGGTAGCACATAGCCAGAAAGGCTAGTAGTCTTTGATAGCCTCCTCCTCCATTAATTTGCCCAATTTAGAAGAAGCCATCCAAATTGGTGGCCATCACTACTTCCTGTGGCAGTGAATTCCATCGTTTTAACTGTTTTGTGTGAAGTACTTCCTTTCTGTCCTAAATCTCCCACTTGGACTAACCCCAGGTTCTAATATTATGAGGGAGGGAGGGAAATGTCCCCCTTCCTACTTTCTTCATGTCATGCATAATTTTAAACACCCTTACTTTTTTTAAAACAATCCCAGTTGTTTTAACCATTCCTTACAGAGGACTTGCTCCAAATCCTTGTACATGTTACTTGCCTTAATAATTCATCAATACCCTTTTTCAGATATTAAGGCAACCAGAAATTTACCTAATATTCTAAGTGCAGTTGCACCAAACAGTTGTATAAGGGGAGAACAATTTTTACAGTTCTGTTTTCAATCCTTTCCTAATTTCTTCATCATCCTTCAGTGGGCTTATTTTAAGGATGCCTAGATTTGAATCTGACCCAAGGTATAATGCATACATGCAGGCAAGAAATGCAGGTATCTTCACACTGTGAAGGGAAGCATGGGCATGACCCTGAATGGTCATTCAGACCAATTCCAAACATGAAACAGTAGGATTGCACTATGTAAAATGGCAGGTTGTGCACTTCACAGGGCTTTAGTATTGGTGCACAAACAAGAAAAAGCAGGAATATCCCTGGTAAATAGGGACTGTGCAGTCTGTGCTGCTGACATTGAAATACATTTTACACATGCCCTGTATGGGAGAACTATTCTCTGTTTCAACTCTTTGGACATCAAGGAGGACGAACAGGAAGCCACAGGACCTTGATTCAGTTCATCTACCAGCTGGATCCTGAAAGGGCAGTCTGAACATTTCTTTCCCTTCTTCTCGCCAGTCCCCCAAGCCTGGCACTGAACACAGGTTTGGAAATCTTCTTTACACACATGCAGAGCCATCTGTTCACCAGAGAGACAGGGCATCAGTCCATCGTAGAACATTGGACAAAGAGCAAAAGACAAACAGATAAGCAACACTTGCCTTCTGGCTAAGTGTTTGAGATATGTAGTACCTTTAACACATCAGTGCTGCACCAGAGACACACTGAAGGGTCAGTATGGTTTTGACACATTTAGAAAGATTTAAGAGCACAAAGAATAATTGGTGAATGAATTGGCTCTAAGTTCTTGTAGTGAGACATAGGAATTTAGGAAGCAGCACTGACTATCAAGCCCTTTATTGTTGACACCAGTTGGCAGCAGCTCATCTGAACTCAGGCAAGATTCTTTCCTAGTCCTACAGGAGTAGCTGAGGATTGGACCCGGGGAACCCTCTGCATGCAGACATGTGCACTGTCCCACCGAACTATAGCTCTTCCCCTACACACGAGGGACACGAACTATTAGATCACAGGTGGCTACCAGCTTGGTCTAATAGCTTACCGACTCTTCGCACATGAGTCCGGTGTAGGGGGTAGGGTTTTCACAGATGCATCTGCCACATTCGCATCTACCACGCCCATTACAGATCACCTGCAAAAGACAGACCAGTGTTGAACTTCCTTTGCATTGCATATATTTGCATGCATGTGGACATAACAAATCCTTACCTGAATTCAACTGTGGATATTTTTCCTTAATCAAGGGAAAGAGCTCCTGGGCAATTAGAAAATTGATACTACTTAGATGGTAACCTATGAATTGCTCAAGGCAATGGAGTCACTAAGTCTGACTAAGAAAACAAGGGATACCTTGTAATGCAAGCTGCCCAGAGAGCCTCATGGCTATATGATGTGGCATAAAAATGCAACAAGCAAAAAAATAAATAAATACCATCCAATGAAAAATGAAGTTGCATGTTGTGGCTTTCATCTCCAATTCATCAGCAGTTGAAACAACTAAATTACGGAAGATTTCTTCACATAGTGTCACATCAAACATGCAAGAACAGCACAACATCTATACATTTTTGCATAAACCAGGGAACAAAGTTCTGCCATACTCTCAGCCTTCACAATGTGAAGGCCAGGAACACATAATCAGTCTATGATATATCTATGCAGTACCTGTGCACCAAGCAATCCAGAATCTAGTTCTCTTTTCAGAACCCCCAAATACTGCCCCCATTTCATTTCTTTTTTCATAAAAAGGAAACTACACTCAGGCAGAGGGAAAAGTATTTCCATTGCTCCTCCATCAACCATGTTCCTACAACAACAGATTTGTGTTTGAAAATAGCTATACATTGACCCCATCTGATAAAGGGGTTTGGAACAGCTGTGTATTTCATGGCTATTCAAACTGGGTGTACACACCCATGCCTGTCCTGCAGCTGCCTGCTTAGCAGGGCACCACAGTTCTCAGAGGGGATGGCAGAAGCAGCAGATCAGCACACATAGTTTTGCACAGCACATGTTGGAGGCCAAGCAGATATCCTGAACATCTATTGAACAACCCAAGACAAAGAAGGTTGGCAAGTAATAAGTGAGAAGAGTTCTCCAAAGAGGATGGGACATTGCCTCTGGTATAGGCCACAGTAGCTAAGCTTTCTTCCTGACTCTTCCGCAGAGCTGAGCAAGAAAATGACGGGTGCCACCATATTGTAGATTCCCTCCCTCCCTCCCTCCCTCTGAGAATATGAAGATGTTTTAAGTTTGTCAGTAAGACCACTGGCTTGTCTCACTCCTTATTGTCCGCTCTGAGTAACAGTTGTGCTACCAAGAAGGTGAGCAATTTGTGGCCCTCTAGAGCTTTGACCTACAGCTCCTCTCATCCTTAGCAAGCATAGACAATGGTGAGGGATCATGGGAGTTGTAGGTCAAAACACTTGGAAGGCCACAAGTTGCCCAGCCCTTCTGTACAATCTCTTAGGTAGGAGGTCTTTGTCAGACCTACTGCCTGAGAGCCTTTAACAAGTGATGCCAGGGGTTGAACTTGTGACCTTCCAAATGCAAAGCATGGAACTCCTGAAGCTACCAGGATTCCATTTTAAACCAGTTCTCCCCCTGAATACAAAGGAAACATTTCCTATTCCCATTCCAACCTATATCTATAGCTCTCTAAGGAGAGGAAATATACTTACCTCATTGCTGGTAAGGCAGGTTATATTGCTCGTGGGGCACTCGCAGCCAGGGCCTTCCCAGCCACTTTCACATGCGCACTGGCCCATGTAGCAGCGACCCCGGTCTGCAGAGAGGAAGGGAATGATAATGGGGTTTCTAAGAGCTGCATTCTATGCTGGAGTGGCTGATGCCGCCTTGGATTCGTATGATCTTTGATGAAATGCCATGGTCCCCTTGGTTTACATACATTTGCCTATGTTGTGGGAGGATGTATCTTAAATGATATTGTGATTCATAAGAGGAGAGCAATACAGTGTCTTACAATAAATATAGCCACCCCATATGAGTGCTAAAGACAGTGGAGGAAAATCCTTTATATATGTCAGTAACAATATGCGCGGTATGAAATTGGAGAGGCCACTTGGACATTTAGAGGGAACATGGTTTTTTGGTCAGTTATCAGGACAGTATTGTTATGAAACAGCCACTCAGTGGTGTGCAGGAAAAGTTGGTGTTGTGAAGCATTCCAGGGACCCTTTATGAGGCGGCAATGCAAACAAGCTCAGATATTTTATACAGTTATGTGTATTTTATATTGTTATTTATGTATTTTAATTTATTTATTTGTAAGCCGCCCCGAGGCTTCGGCGAATGGGGCAGCCTAGAAATTTTCTAAATAAATAAATAAAATATTTTGGGTGACTGTAGGAAAGACAGCTGACAAAGGAAATATGCAACTAGCGTATCTCCTTCTTGACTGATTTGTTGATGCATCTCCTGCATTTGCCGGACAAAGACTATGGTGCTAAATCTATTGGATGAGGCAGAACAACAACAAGGCAAAGGAAAGGCCAGCCATCTGAGAGAGAATGGGCCTAGTTTACATGCAGCACTAGCTCATGATTTATTTCAGCCATGGTTTGTTGCCCTATTCAGGGTTTTCTCTGGTGGGTGATCAAATAAACCATGGTTGGTTGTTTCCTTGCTCCTTTTTCCACTTCTTTCCTGTATCCTCAATGTTTTGGCAGCACTTGCATGTAAAGAGATTATTTTTTGCCACTCTTGCCTGTTGCATCTACAGCCTGCTGAAGCAACACAAGAACATCCCACAATTCTGGGTTCACACACAACAACCCGTGCTTTAAACAACCCGCAGCTTCCTATCCATGGGTTCTCCACGGTTAACAACCCCCTGGTTAACTAATAATTCCAAGTTTGCACTTAACAATGCACAATTTAACAAACAGTGCTTAATTAAATCACACTTTGTCATTACATGTGAACTAGGTCAATGGGTTAACTCCTTTTCCCAAAGAAAGGAGAGGGGGGATTCATTTTTCTCAAGCAGCTAAAAGCTCAGGAAAAAGTGCAAGGTATGTACCACCTTGAGAACAAAGGGGGGGGGAATGGTGAAAAGACTTGCTGCAAATGGGACTATAAATCACATTGCTCCCTTTTTATACGCCAAAACCATTTATGCCTTTACTTTTTTCTTGACAGCTTGCTTTTTGGCAGTTGAAAGCAAATGGAAAAATAGCTTATCTGGAGCCTCCTTGGGACAACATTCAGGTTTGATACCTGCTGCACTTTAGTAACTCATAGCCCTCGGGACATTGCTGCAGTTGAGGTTTTAAATTCCCACATTCATGCAACTGTGAATGTCCTACAATTGCACAAGTGTGGTTAAAAAATAGCTATGGGGGAGGACCAAGTGGGGACAGAGGTGGCAAACACTTCACAATGAGCCCACAAGAAGCCAACAACCAACCCATCATGGCTGATTGCCAGAGTGAGTTGGAATGACTTGCAAATGTGCCTGGTGACATACTACTGCAAGAAATTCAAAGGATCGGGCAACTAAGCATAATCTCTAGGGAGCTGCTACAGCTCAGGTCAGTGCCAGTCCAATCTTGACTGCAGCCAGAAACAGCACAGAATTCATTAAAATGCAAGATTTTGCCCACTGTGTCACTATGCTAATATCTGTGGCTGCAAGCTGGCCTAAGTGGACTCCAGCTCTGGAAAAAAAAGAAATGCTGGAAGAGAGCACCCTCTGCAAAACTGTATGTTTCACTTCACTTGCATGTGTACATGGACATGATAACCTCTGAAGGTTGCTAGAGAGGCAACCTTTATGATCTTTAAAGCTTTTCTTGGTTTAAAGTTGCATTTGTAGGCCTAGAGATTCAATTCAAAGCAAAAGGATCTGAGGAAACAGTGATAACTGGTGAAAAATCTCAAGTTATACATGTTATAACTGAGGCAGCCATTGGGAAGGCCTGTCAACACAAGAGTGCTGGAATCTCTTGTCCATTTATGCCTTGTGAAGAGAAGCTTTATTTATTTTTATTATTTATTGTATTTATTTATTTATAACATTTTTATTCCGCACCCATCGCAGAAGCCTCGGGGCAGCTTACAAAGAGAATAAACAAACATATAATAGAATAACATTAAAAGCTTTTGTATACTGTCCTATTATACAAGATCTCAGGATGGTTTACAATATTTAAAAACAATTAAAACAACAAAACAATAAATCACAAAACAGAGTGACTAAACTTAAAAGCTGTTATATTTTAAAATACTGTTTAAATAAAAAGGTTTTGGCCTGGTGCCAAAAACAGTATAAACTTGGTGCCAGGCGTACCTCTCTGGGAGGTACTTTCCAGATCTGGGCGCCACAGCAGAGAAGGCCCTACTCCGAGTTTAGCAAGCATGAGAGCCACTGTAACCCCCTAACAGTAGGCATGGTGCAGGGCCACAGCCGCTCGAGTTCTCACTCACCATTGCAGAGGAATCCAGAAGTTCGGGGACACTGCAAGTTGTCAAATTCACAAAACTGTCCCTCATAGCGTTGGGTCTCATCTTCAGAATAGCACTGACATTGCCCACAAAGGCATTCGCCTCGGCCTGAGCAGGGCTCTGTGTCTCCTGGCCGAAGGCAGGGTGTGTTGTCAGCTGAGGCAGAGGTAGAACAGTTACATGCAGCTCCACGCCTGTCATGGAAGAAAGAAGTTCAGGCTGAGGAGGCTTCCAAAAGGATCAGAGAGGTCACAGCACTAAAATCCAGAAGTTACCATGCAGCTACTCTTGTCTTTTTTTTCACCGAACAGAACATTCCACGGTAAGAAAAAAAGAGACAAAATGGTGCAAAAACAAGGGAGGTGTACAAGTGGAGGATGACAACATTTAGAGTTCCCATGAAATTCTATGACTGGAACAGAGTTTACTATAGTTAAAACTTTCTTTGAAAACACCCCCAGAAAAGCCTTTGAAATGCAGAGGTGAGTCATATTGAAGAGATGAAAAATGAACATCACTAAAAGAAAACTTGTATGCCTGCTAGTGGGGCCTGCTTTGGAATTTTACTGTACATTGCAAATAATGCACCTGTGAAAATTTAACTGGTTGTGCTTTTCCTTCTCCTGTACTTGCTTCTGAAGAGGAGAGAGAGCCACTGCTCCACCTCTCTTTCCCACAAAATTGACCAATGAGAGGAGGATTTGGGCTCAGAGATGAGGAGGACGTATTGTCTCTAGGCTCAAATATTCCTTCCATTCTCTGTGGCTGCTTTGGAAAGGAAGGGAGAGGTGAGGAAAGTGATACTGGAAAGAAAGGTTTGTGCTTACTGCCTCTGAGCACTGCTTTTCCTCCTCACTGTGCTTGCTTCAGAGGAGAAGGTAAGCCATGTGTTAGCCATGTGATCCACACTTTTTTCCTTCAGTCAAGAAAATTAGCCTTCCTGCATCAGTGACAGGACCCATGACTAGGGATAGGTAAAGCAGAAGAGTGAGCTTTGTGACATAGGCTAGGCTAGGTAGAGACTTCAGGACTTCCAAATACAATTTGAACTTTTCACTTCTAAACTGGGGTTAACACGTTTTATCATGTGAGGAGGTGGTGAACTAGCAGTGCAGGACTCCACTGCCTTTCACAGCTGTTTGACAGAAATCCAGCCTTTCCAGCAGTGTGGACATGTCGTGCCAAGGAAAACCTCTGGATATGCTTCTTCCTTTTAGGCAGCTGTCAACAGCACAGAAACTCTAGGAGAATAAAGTTGGTATCCTTAGTGCAAACTCAACATACTGTCCAGTGCACAACCAGCATTATTTGCACTTTTGTAGAGTTCCATCTGTCATACATTTTCTCTGTTGAGCAAGGGGTCTGTTCTTCTTAAGAGTTCTACCCATTGATTACTGCCCTGCTATCTATCTATCATCATCAATCACTATTATTAAATAATACATTAATGCCTCAAGAATCCATTCTACCTAATCACAAGAGGCAACCTTGGTGCCTTGGTCTTAAAAGGGTACGGAGTTAAACTTTCTGCTGGAGGAAGGAGAAGATTGGTGTCCCACGTAATGAGAAATATGGATTAGATACATACCAGCCAGGATTGCAAACACATTGTCCACAGACAAAGTTTCCATTGAAATTGCACTTAGCTGACCTAACTTCCTGTTGCTGTAAAGAACAAAGGAAAATTAGTTACTCAACTTTATTCCAGAGTCTGCAAATCTGAGCACAAGTGGGCACAACAGAAGCCTCTAGGTTTATTTCTGTATGCAAACATGGTCAAAGCCAGAGAATGGGTTCACATGACATTAAAAAAAACATTGCCTTATAAGCCACAGGGCCTTGCCACATCATGAGAACTTGTCATGGTTTATTCAGGGTGCTTTATAAGTACAGCTTCTGGAATTATAGGCAACCCTAACAAGCCATGTTATGTGGTTGGGTTTGTTTGACTCCTGATGGCTAATCATAAGGTCTGATCCTAGATGACACCATGTATTAGGGGACAAGCCCAACTACAAGAGAGCTGTTCGGCAAAAATGGTAAAATCCCCTTGCCACACAGATCTGGAAGAACGCCACTGACAGCTGCCCTCAAAGTCCTCAGGCAGCACCTGTTAGAGACCACCTGACCGATGTCCACAAAAAGGCAGGGCTGAAGAGCATGGGGAAGCTACATTCAGCTCAGCTTACACTGAGTAGACTGGGGCCTATCCAAGAGAAGTAGTGTTTTGTTTTGTGGGATGGCACTGCCACTGATATCTGCAACAGTGCCAACAGCCCTCACCTTGGGTAGCAAGGCCTGCTCTGGACTAGGGTAAGAGCTCTCAGTGGTCTGTTCTCCCATTCCTGCTCTCCCTGACCCCACTAAGAGTAGCAGTGGGGATGGAGGAACCTTGAGATACCTGCAAGCAGGAGCAGGAAGAGGCACAGTGTACCCTCCCCATGAAGCACCCAATCTCTTTTGGTTGCACTGGAGGTAGGGTGGTTTCTAAGCCAGACTGCAGCAGTTCTGCTTAGCCCATCCTGCAAAGCCACCTAAACTCATATTCCTTGTAACATTAAAGTATGGCGTCATGCTTGGGACTGTCCAACCAAAGAGGAGAAAACAGAAGTACCTGTTCACAGGGACAGGCATCACAAATTACTGAGGCATCAACCGCCACTTTGTCAGTGAAAGAGGAGGGCTTGATGTGGATAGCACCTTTCCGGTCTTTCTCTGGGAGATCACAGACATGCTTCCCACCCACTTGCTCATGGGCTTTCACCCTCACGTTGAATGTGCCCTGGAGGGAAGAGAGACATTTGTACATTTGCTGGATTTTACCAGAGAGACATGACACTTTGACCAGCAATCAGAGGGAAAAGCCAAGGTACAAGGCTGAACCAGAATACACAAGGAAATACATCTTGGTAGCTTGCTTTCACTCTGGCAGAACATAAAGTACAGGAGGATGTAAGAGGTACCTGCTTCCAAACATGGGGCTACTTCTGTTTCCATTCCCCCAGGCAGCTGGCATGGAATAGCTAGAAATCCTACACTACATAGAGTTGCTCTGTGCTGGATATGGGACCCTGCTCTCCCTGATCTGAACAACTAATTATTGTTGTTACATCTTCTACAATGGTCATGGAGCTGTGCTGAATCCCAGAGGATAGAATCCAATTTTGCCAACAGAAATGAACTCAAATCTAGGACCATAAGCAGCTGTTCTTTTGTATCGTCAGACCCATTCTGACATGCATATGAATGTGAACAAAAGAGCCGGCTTACTTTTGTCTCCTCTGAGACTGACCCAGAATGTAGAGAATAGACTCCCCACCCCAGAAAGAGTTTGTGTGCATGTTAAGAGGTACGTCATTTATGCAAGAGGCTTTACCCTCAGACTACAAGACACTCCAGGAATGTGAAATGCAGGACTTACCACTTCACCACGAACAATGTTGAATGAACCAGACTCTGTTTTTTGATACTTCATGGATGTTATTTCTGTTTTCATAGCTTTGGGGGTGTCATATGCTCGAATGTCCATCTTGGAACGAATACGCTGCAGAAGGCAGGTGGGAAGAAAATGTACAGAACTGGAATGCATCTAATTCAGTGGTTTCTCACTTTCTGCTTGTAACATGCAGCCATGTCTACTTGCTGTTTATACTGTACTGTACACTAACTGTTCATGCATGAGGGTCCCAGAACTCATAAGTGAATGGCTCATCCTGGGGTCTGTTCACATTTATGGTTTTCCCTAAGCAATATCTCTGCCACCTCACCATAGCTTAAGTGTCAAGTTTTCCACTTTGATTTTTCCCGTAGCTTGCCAAATGCTAAACCACCCTTCCTCCATGGTTTGAACTTCAACTGCCATCACCCCTACTTAGCATGGCCAAGTGACAGGGAATGGTGGGAGTTGAAGTCCAAAACTTCAAGAGGGCACCAGGTTGGCATAAACTCTACTAAACCTGCTAGGACATTTTGGTTCTTTTGAACAGGGAGAAAGAAGGACGATGCTTAAGGAATTCAGTCTTTCAGAATTCTTGTTTAACAGCCTTCCCCAACCTAGTTTTAGACTTCAACTCCCATCACCCACAAACATTGGTCATATGGCTCAGACTCATGGGATCTGCAGTCTAAAACATCTGGAGAGAACAAGCTGCGTGGGGGAAACTGCTATGTGAATTGATTGATTGATTTAGATTTTTATATACTGCCCCATTCCCGTAGGCTCTGGGGAGTTTACAAAGAATTAAAATCAAGGATTAACATTTGACCAAAAACAGCATTAAATAAAACTGATCTGAAAACTAATCTGGGAATGCTTGTGGGAAGAGATAGTTTTTAAGTCCCTCTGGAAGGTAGCAAACTGGGATTTAAAAAATGACCTAAACTGCTTCTTAGAAACTTGCATAGGCACCAGAACTAAGGCTTTTCTTAGAAAACAGAGCAGAAATAGCTACTGGATAAGAAAGCTAGCTGCTTGTACTAACCAACACAGATTTACACCAGCACTGGGCATCCTCCAGAGGGTCAGTGGCTAATTCCCTATCCCCACCCCCACCCCGCTGCCGCATTGTTCACAAATTAAGTGGCACAGTAGCACAACAGCCAAAAAGGGCCATTTTCCTCTTTTTGCTGCCATGTTGCCTTGGCTCCAAATTTTGCTGACAAATCCAGCAATGAATTTTTCTTGTGCAATGAATTTTTTTGCACAAGAAAAAAATATCTGCCCTTGTTGGCTGCTTTGCTAACAAATTTTGCTGACAAATTCACTGACAAAGGAGGGCAAGGGTACAAACAAGACCAGAGGAGCACATGCTACCTGCTTAGATTTATACCATCAAACACTGGTCAGTTCATGGATATCCAGGTACCTAAACACACCTGGGTATAAGGAATTTAGTGACATAGGGGCAGCTACCATATGGGGTTTCCAGAATGAAATACAATTGGGCTTGTAATTGTTCTTTACAATATTCCAGAACATTTTAGGGAATTACAAGTGTATTGAACAACTCAGAACAGTCATAATTTAAGACCTGAAACATTCCCTCTTACCTCAAAAGCCGCACGGAGCAACTCTACAATATTAGAAGAATCTTCCTGCAGCCTCCCAACTTCAGAGATTGGGAAGTATGTTCGCAGTTTCTATTTAAAATATATATAATGAATAATATGAATTATAACAATAAAAACATAGTAGAATGAACACATTAACAGTCCTACGATGCACACAAAGGAGGACTATGCCTCTGCCTCTGCCTTACTTTTGTAGGTCAGCCGTCCCCAGCCTCCAGATGTTTCCTCCAGATGTTTTGCTTCCATTGATCCCAGCCAGCATAGCCAATAGTCAGGGATGGTGGGAGCTGAAGAACAAAACAGCTGGAGGACATCAAACTGGGCAAGGCTGCTATAAATGAATTTGGGTTCTGAGATAGGAAACCTGATGCCCTCCAGATGTTTTGGAATACAACTACCACAATCCTTGAGCATTAAGCCATTATGGCAGTCGCTGATGGGACTGGAAGTTGTCTACTCTGCCACTGGACACAGGGCAAACTTTAGCTATGATATCTTCCCACTGATTCTGATGAGGCTGAGTGTACTTCAATGGATTGCATCCAGGAAATGCACCACTCTATTATTTGTAGCATCATCATTCCAAACTATTTTATTTTTATTACTAAATTTTGCATTTCACACCTTCATCACCAAACATAATCCCTGGGCAAAGTATATCAAAAATCATAAAAACTGAATGATATAACTAGAAATATTGAACAGTCATACAGACCTATACAATTAGCAAATAATAAACTAAAGTATATACAATCAGTGCAGATTCTGATTTTAAATCCATTTTAAAATATCAAAATTCTCACAATGCCTGGACAAATGGAAATGTTTAATTTGGTGCTGAAAATAACCTTCTTTTCCTCAGGCATTTCAAAAGTTGGGGTGCTACTACACTTTTATCTTCCATACTTCTTTAGCAAAACAAAGTAAAAAAACCAAAAAAATCCAATTTAGTAATAAAGAAAGACATTAAGGGAAAATATTAAATTATCTAGTGTAGGGGAACTGAGCAGATAGACATTTTCTCAGGATCAAACTAGATTCTACAATAATTGAGGAGATAGAATTAACATGTCCACTTTTTCTAATGTAAACAGGAGAAGCCTGAGCAGCCTGGGGACAAAATGGTCTGAAAGTTATGTCTTTCTCTCACTACCTCATTTCCAGTGAAAGTCACTCCAATTCATATTGCAGAGGAAGTTTGGGAGCCTCCTTCCAAATACAGATAGTGGCTTTGCAGAAGCAATTTTGTCAGAACCACAACAGGAACAGAGAGAACCCCCCACCCTCCACAGACTCAGGGCTTCTCAGACTTCCTTGGGGGCCGATATAGACATACACCCTCCCCCCCACACACACACATATACACCATGCATTTGTACAATCAACACTTCTAGTTTGTCCTTTGCTTTCTCATAATACTAGGATTCTGGGTCATCCAATGAAACTGACTGGGAAAAGACTCAGAAGAGACAAGAGCAAGCATTTCTTCGCTTTTTTGCTTTCCGGCTCTACTTGTCAGCTTCCTGGAGACACGTGGTTGTTAACTGTGGGAAACAGGATACTAAACTAGATGGGCCTTACATTTGATCCTGCAAAGTTCCCCTCCTCATGTTGCTAACAACAACTACAACTACAACAAGGCTAGTCATGGATCTCCTGATTTAACATGCAGTTTGGCGCCCTTGCTTATGAAAATGTACTAGGTGGAGGAAAAGATATTCCAGGTTCTACCAAGTGGGGATTATTTTGCTAGCCACTGGGTGTCCCCACTGCTTTACAACAGCAGACCTAGAGCCACTCAGGGAAAATAGATGCAAGGACAGTTCAGCACCAAGTCACTGAGGAGAATATACCTGAAGGTAACCTGATTCCTACTTCTTTTCACTGAAATACCTAATCCACATATTCCTAAATAATTACACCATATCCTGACTATAGTGCATCAGTAACAGAAACATTTGTAGGATTTGTTTCTCTCAGTCTTCACACACACAATCAAACATTCCTGGATATCTTGGGCAACGAAAGTGGGCCACATGCTACAGAAGAAGGTGAAATCATCTCTAGCATTGCCAATTAAATGCGGTGACCAAGGGATTCCTGAAAAGTGAGAAAAGCCCTTCTACTAAAGCCCTCTTGGATGATTTTTAAAGTATTTTGGAACCAGTTCTTCCCATGCAGCATTGTCAGTCAGCCTCTTCTGAATTGGATAGTGTACACCCTGTTTCACCCTATTTGCTGTGGAGGATTAGGGCAAAGCTTCCGGCCTAGCAGTAAAGAGCTGTGATTGCTTCCTTGCTGGGTCTGAGAACTATTACTGGTCAAGAATGGCTACAACCCCTGCCATCTATTGTTCCTATGACAATAGGAGCTCCACCCACCCCCGCCAATTCTGCCCACTGGCACTTTTTACCTCATAGTACTCATAAGAATGGTTGGTAACAGCAAATATGGGGATGATGTTGCTCCGCCTCAGCAGGCGCACAAGGGTAGGCACAGAGGGGTAATCCTGCTTGGTGTCAAAGGTATAGGTGCCCGCGGCATTCAGGTGACACTTCTCATCATTCCTCCTCATAATTCCAGACAGGACATTGGAGCCATCAGCCTCATAATGGAAGGCAGACTCAGTGGAGAACACCAGAAGGTGAGTGCTGTCATTCCGCCACCCTATATAATCCTGGGAAAATGAGGAAAGGCAAAGTATAGAAACATTTTATTTTCTCAGAAGGATGAAGTAGGTTGGCCTGAAACAGTTAAAGCAGGTAACATACGACATTTGAGAAGGGCATCATGGCCACTGACACCAAGGCAGTGGTTCCGGCATTTACCATTGCTACAGGGTTTCAGTACAGCTTGTTTAGACCAGGCATGGTTAGCTGAGAGGAACAGAACATTCATCAATTGTTCCTGTGCTAATGGTGACTATGTCTGGACACTCCTCTCTTACTTTGTTTACTCGGCTCTCATCTCTTAGCTGCTGACAAGGTATAGCTCCCTGAATTACTACCAATCCAAGGAGCTAGAATTTTGTTTATATTTTTTATTTTCACAGAAGTTTCAGCTATTATTCTCCCTAAAGTACAACTACAACTACAATCTAATTCCAAAGCTCATCCTGGCTTGTGAAAGCACAAGTGATATTGTTTGTTACAGATTCAAACAAGCAAAGGTTTGGTCTAGATTTCCCCATCTTAATGAGTGCTTTAAAAGGTCCATACCCCTCTAATTCTCATTGAATCTTTGAACTTTTCAGCACTGCCTTGACTTACCTTGCAAACAGCTGTTTGCAATATGGCATCGAATCCACCTTCCGGAGCATCCAAATTTCCTGATATGCGCTCCATCCTTAACTCTTCGCTGAATTTATTGATATCACGGGTTAGGCGGATAACGTTCTTAAAGGAGAATGGAGGGTCTGCATGAGGCCAGGGTTCACGCAATCTGAAGGTGGAAGGAGGGCAAAGCCTTTATTATTAAGTAGTGAATGGACCCTTCTTTGTACAGGTGGGAAGAGCCTTTACATTGATACAGCAAATGCTACAAGCAACAGATACAGCTGTCAGAGCTGGACACGTGGTGCCTGCCCCATCTGAGCGAAGCCATGCCTGCTGCCACCATTAGGCATGTCTTCTTCAGTAATACACCATTATAGACCCCTGAAGATGGGGTCTGTCCACCTCATTCCACTGAGAGAGGCATGACTACAGCAGGGCTGAGGGGACAGGTGTATAATTCTATCCCTCAGCCTACTAATCTGTGGCTTTTAAGGGAAATAATGTCCTGGTTTGGAAAGTCTGTTCCTAGTGACTGAAGATGTTGCTGCAGACTTCAACCACATAAATGCATTAGCATGAATTAATGCATTTCAAAAATGAAATACCTAGGCTGCATTCTCCTAGGATCCTCCTAGTATGCATAGGCCAAGTTTCAGGTGTCTAGGTTTTATGGTCCTGGTGCTACAGTGCTAACAGATAGACAGACAGACAGACATACTCCGATTGTTACTATTATGATTATTTACTACCAACAAACTGATACTGAATCAGCACTGAATATATAACTATAAACAAATTAGTACAACAAAATTAAACATATTAAATGAATGTATTCATTTGCCATAAAGTTTAATACGAGTTGGGGTTAGGGCAGCATCTAACAGCGCTGCTGCACTTATGTCACTGACATAGCGCTAGCATAAGTAGCCTCTAAAGCAATACCAGCAGGAAATGCTGGCGAAGCAGGACTTTTGCAACAGCAACAATGAGTTTGGTGGCATTTGAAGTATTAAAAATACATTGTAACAAAGGCTGGTTTCATTAGCTGAATGACCAAAAGAATGAAGATGATGGATATAGATATAAATGGGTCCAGTCTAGGTGAAGAATTGCTTTGCACAGTAAGACTGAACAAGAATGAACACACAGTGTTTGTTGTCAATTTAGATGCTAATATTATTGATATACCTTGAAGAATATATATTTGTATTTCAACTATATTTATGTTTTGTTTAAAAAAAGGGGGGAAGGGAAAAAAACAAGAATGAACACATGTGGGTGTGATACATGAATTGATATGTACAAGATCCGGACATAATGTAATGAAGCAAGGCAGCAGGGGTTGGGGATGGGGCATAAGCATAGGTATTAGTAAGAAGTTAGCTGAACTATTAACCTTACTCCAATAATAACTTTTACATATATCCAGTAGAGATAGGAAAAAAAAGAAAGCTATCATTCCCAAATAGTTCATTTTCAAGAACATCCACTGAATCCATCACCCTTACTTACTTTTCAGGCCTCATGTCTGTCTGTGGGACTGACACTTTATCCACAAACTTGCCAAAGCCAATAGTATAATCTTCAGTCAGTTCTCTCAGGAAAGTTGCTAGCAGGAAGAAAAGAAAGTAGGAATGGATGAAGATGTACTGGCAAACTTGGACGATGTTCTCTATTCCGAACATTCATCCAAACTTACACTGTTACATTATGGAGTTTGATTGAACATTTCAACTGCATTTAATGTTATCCAGTCTGTGAACAAATCACAATTTTTGATAGCCCAGGTTTCCTAAAATGTTATTCATTTGATTTATTTTTTACCACACCTTTCTATGAAGTAAATGGTAAACCAACAGAGTATTATAGGGCATGTCAATTCTAAGTTGAGTTAAATAAAATAAAAACTCTGTTTTAGGAGTCTGATAATGGTTGACCACTGCATTTATTTCTGTCCCCAAAAACTTTCAGGTGATATTCCAAAATGCATTTACCCTTACTCACAAAAAAACCAAAATGGAATTAAAATTTCCTGTTGTAACAACTACATTATACTACACCTCTTTCCTCTTTCAAACTCAAGCTCGGCAATCACTTTTTCCATGAAGCTATTGACTTAATGCTTTTATCCTCACCCCAATTAAAATTAAGCCTAAGTACTAGCAGCAGCATTCAGCCTGTATCATCTCTGGGTGCTTCCAGATGGAAGGCTTAGCAGTAGCAATCAGAAAACATTGTGCAGCTGTTTCACCTTTTTCCCTTAACACCTTTTCTAGCAGGAAAAAAAAGGAAAAAGCGATTGGAAAACTCGGGAGAATGATCAAGTAGATGATGTCAGTGTCTTGGCTCCCCATAAAATTCTATGGAGAAGACAGGAAGATGGCACCATAAATCTGCTTGTAGAAGTACTCATTCTTCCTTTGCTTTGCTCTCATCTCTGCACTGACAGAATTCAGGTGAAAGTTCCTTGGAGTAGGGAACTAGTCCTTTTTTTCTTATGTTACTCTGCAAAATGTTCTGTACATTGGTTCTACATAAACCATCGGCAGCAATATGTTTTCTCATGACTATGCATTTATTTCTAATAATTCTGCAGAATATATATAGGATTTTTAAACCATCTCTCCGTCTCTTACCATTATCTATGGCTGAGCTAGTCACCAATTGCAAACTATGGGGGAAAGCGTCAGAAGTGAAATAAAACAAAACTAAGGATATACAGGCCTCTTATTTGCCATGCTGAGGCTGTAGTGGGACAAAGCTTGCAAGAAAAAAAGGAAGATGCTAGTAGTCAGACACAAAACTGAGTGGCTGGTCCTGGGTTTCTTCCCTACATTTCTCCCCTGATCAGTAGTACTTGGCCAGCTGCCCCCTGCAGTTGCAGACAGTTGACAATCTCTTGGTCTGCCCCCATGACTTTAACAAAAATTCTCACCTAGATTCTCGCCCATACTTTTTAGGTTATCCAAGTCATCAGACATGGAGTAGGAGAAGTCCATGAGAATGTAGAGATCCACAGGAGATTCCAGGGGCTCAAATACATTCATGCTGAAGCTCGCTTCCTCACCAGCTCTCAGCCTCATGGCTATGTTTTGTGGGGATACTTGTGTTTTTTTCAGAGATGTATTGATGTTAAATTCCTACCAGAAGAAGCAACAGTAATGCAGAGAGATCAGAAGAAGGTTTACTGATGATACTACATTTGAGATTGGAGGAAAGACGTGATTCCCAGTAGAGATTAACTAAACATGCAGCTTTCCCATACCTCTACATATAAACAGGGATTCATGAAAATATTTGTTTCAGTTCATTTTAAGTCAAAATTTACTCAGTTTGCACCACCCAGACTCAAGCCCTGTCTTGAACACAATCTGCATTACATGGACCATACATTTCTGATGCAACTGGTAGACCAAAAAAGAAAGTGTACATTCGAAAAAGCATACATTTGAAAACCACGCATAAAAATGTGTGTTGTTTTGTATGTTTTCATCAATGAAAGAAAATTGTGTATTTTTCAAAATGTGCACAACTGAACCATGAATTTAGAAAAATATACATCATAATATGAACAAGTTTTGGTGTGAACAAATGAACAAAAAAACTTGCTATCTGAGATAGACATAAGTGTTAGGACAAGCATCAAGATGGAATCTGAAGAATTTATTTGTTGGTTTGCACATGCCTTTCTATGAATACTCAAAGGAAATACTCGAGCAATGATAAATCTCTTCCCTGGGTATAGCTAATTGAGATTTTTTAAAAAATAGACAAATTTTCCAAACTATAAATCCTCGACATATCAGGAAAGTTATTTAGGCTTATTTATATATTTTATTACATTTATATCCCACATTTCCTTAACCTGACCTCTACTCACCTGTATTCTTAACACATCACCTTTTATGAATACTATGTTGGCCTCACTGCAGCCATGTCTCTCTAGGTTGACTTTGAAATCACAGCGCTGCTCTTTGAAGTTCTGGGGCAAGAGAAGACAATAATAACACATACTTAGAAAATATATTCTAAAATAAATTTGCCTTGTGGTGGTTGTTCTATGCCCTACTCTAAACCTATAGTGACTTTGGAAACTTCTGATGAGTGCAATACAATTGCTTGCACAATTAGATGCATGGAAGCCTCCAGACTTGGAGGCTTACAAGCGCCCCATGGCAGGAGCTAGGCAGCAATCTCTGCAGCTGTTGCATCTCACACCCTGTACCTCACACTTATTCCAGGGTTAGTTCCAACTGTCAGTCATCAAGGTGTTCAATGCACATACAATGCAAAGAAATCCCCCATTTCTGCTTAAGTTTGAAGACTAGCAGCTTAATGGGTGAATTTGTTTTGCCTTGACAGTAACATTGCTATAATGTCTCACATGGTTAATTTGTACATGGGAGTCAACGTGTGATGTTGTAGTCCCCTGTCTTAGAGAGTATATAGAACAGAACTATATTTAGACCAGGAGGAATGAAGCTAAAGATGAAATGACTCTCCATCCAAAGGCATGCAGGCTTACAAGTGCAGGCAGGACCGTCCATAAGAGTACAGGTGTAACCTACATCAGGGTACACAGTGACATCCCTTGCATAATTCGGAATGGTATTGCACAGGAATATACCAGAGTTCAGGATTGGGCCTAACTCCTCTGCAGGTGAAATCGAGACAACATGAGAATTGATTCTGAGTCAAATGGGGAGGTGGGAATGGGAATGTAAGATCCAAGAGGTAGGTATCAGATAAAAAGGGAGATGCAATGATACAGGGTCACAAAGCACTTACGAGGGAGGTGACTCTACAGAAGGAACCACTTTTAATGTAAACAACGTCAGCTTTGTGACAACTCTCTTTCATTCTAATTCCTCAAATCCAAGGAACTGACATTTACAAGGTAGGGTGTAATGCAAATCCTACCTGGTATTTAGTTGCATGAGTATATTGTCTGTAGCCTAAGGTTTGTTTGTAGTTTGTATGATTTGGCAGCTTGTCTACTGAGAGATCCAAGGACTGGCTGGGTACATGACCCAGAAGTGCTGGGACTATAGCTAAAATGCAGATGAAAGTTGATGGCTTCAAATATGTACACATTGCAACCATGCTCAAGACTTGTGAAAAGTTCCTACCTCATCAGTGCAAAAAGAACAGTCCTTGCTCACTCGGATACACTCAGTGCAGCTTTTTGCTCTGGAAGCCACACAGTGATTAACTAGGAAACAAAAGCAACATGTTAGAAATGCAGGAAAGCAGATTTGCCTAGGCATGGAGAAAGAAGGGGACAAATAAAATATAAGGAAAGGTCTTATTTTCATTCTCTTTGTACTTGATACACAAAATGCATTCAAACCTGGTTGCAATGCAGCAATCAAGAGATCTACAGCAGATAAAAGTGACTGAAAGTGGTAAAGGCGCTAATCACACACAATACCCCACAAAGTGGTCATCTACTACTACGGTCAGAAGAAAGCACTCAGAGGTGAAGTACCAGAAGGGAATTAATAACCCACTCGGTAGGTACACCCCTTCTTAACAGCATAATGATAATAACAATTTAAACACGAGACAAATAGAGTACTAGAATCAGTTTGACTTGCAAGGATCAGGACTAGGTTTAGACAATACAGTAATCCAGTGTTCCACAACCCACACTCAGCCCATACTCAAACCTTAAATGTAGTTTATAGTGCTCTCTGAACCCAGCTAGTATGTTTTGCATTGCAGGTGCTTCTATACCATATCCAGACTGGTATAGAATAATTCCCCATTAGTATGGGGAATTAATTGAAAATGTCAAAATGTTAACATTCAAAAGAACGTTTCTGAAATCTAAATCATTATAATACCTTGGTTAGGCTATTTCAAAGGTCACAACATATTGTGTATGTTTTTGCTTTGGAGCTTACATAAAAAAGTTATCATGGTGAAAGAGAGAACCTTGGGAGATCGGGGTTCTAGCCCCCACTCCCTTGGAGGCTTTGGGCTGGTTACTGATTCTGTGAGGGTTATTGTGGGGATAAAATGGAGAGGAGGAAGCCACCTTGGATTCCTTGCAAAGGGAAGGAAGGTAGGATATATGTGCAATGTAATACTAATAATAAGGATTTTGGAATTTTTACTTTGACAAACACAGCTATCTCCACTTTTGGTAAGATCTTAAAATGTAAGACTGCACCATCTATGAGGTCTGCTGTTTTGTTCACTGAAATATTACCTAGCAAGGAGCCCCTAGAGAGGAGCTAGGTTTCCCCCTTTGTACAGTCAAAGCAACAGACTGTTCTTTAGCAAAAACACTTTATTCTCTAATGTACATCCAGTAAAGCATAATCAGCAAAGAAACTCCGACCATGCACAGAGTGGTTTGTTGAATCCACACTAGAAACTACCTCCAAGGACCCTCCTTTTGAGTAACCCTGGGCTCCAGCACTCTAGGAGGGCCCTGCTGGAGTGGGCCAGCCGCTTAGCTGTACACTGCCCCCTCTATTTGGTTAGGCCTTTCCTCCCGATGCCAAGCCATGGGGTCAAGGATTTCACCAGGCTTATTTGGCTCCTGGGGCTCCTGCCCCACACCCCTTCCTGGCAGCTGCACACTGAAGCATTTCTCAGGGTCCGCCTGAACATTTGGACAGGGCGGCCTTGAGATGAGCCCTCTTGCATCTCTTTATCTGGAGGCCCCATTTCCCAGGGCTTCACCTCCCTCTCCTGCTCTGAACAGTCTGAGTCTCCCTGTCCTTGAAAGGTGTGCCAACTGCCTCTTTCATTCCCAACACCTCTGGCCATGGACAAGCCCAGCTCAGGAAATACAGGACAGCTTTTCCTTGTCCTTCGGTAAGAAACAGGCCACAAAATGGAGTAACACCAGTCTAGCACAAATGATCCGAAAGCAACAGTATACTTTAGCATTCTGCAGGGGACAAAAGAGATTTTTGCGGAACTTACTCTTCTGTCCTTGGCTTGAGCTATAAAGTAGTGATAACAGAAACAGCCCAGGCAATGTCCTTTGGAGTAAGATATCCATTCTTTTCTTCCTGAAATCCAAAAGTCAAAACAGTCACCATTACCAGCAGCACAATAATGTAAGTCTAGTTCCACAGCTGATAATTCCTGAATCCTTCTAACAAAGAGAAAGAGAGAGACTCTGCATTAATGGCTATATTGTCAGATAAACCATCCATTCAAGACTTGGAACCCACTATTCAAAAAAAATTGTGGTAACTCAGCAGCAGCGCCCCAGCACTACCAAGTAGAGGGGGAGGTTGAATTCCCTGTAAATTCTGTGAATGAAGCAAAGTAATGGTGTTATAAAGGCCTCCTCCGAAAGTACTCTAGCCCTTCACACAATGTATATTAAATATACATTTCGTTTTATTTTAATAAAGTGCACTACCTGAACAAGTGGTGAAGGCCACTATACTAGATGACCTGGAAAAAGGATTAGACAAGATCATGGAGGAATGGAAGTCTACTTATAGCAGGCATGGGGAACCTCAGGCTGGTGAGCCAAATCCATCCCACCTACCATCCCAGCCTAACCCTCCAGGCTTCCTCACATGGCCACACCCCTTCCCTTGACCCTCCCCCTTTCCAGCCACTTATCATATGGCGTTTTCCCTGCTTTTGTGCAGGTTCCCCTCCCCCCACTCTAAAAGACTGAAGAAGGCAGAAGATGTTAATAACTATAGACCTGTGGCCAAGATTCCCTTACTGGGCAAGGTGCTTGAGCAGGCGATGGCTGAACAGCTGCAATTACTCTTGGATGGAATGGACTATCTAGAGCCATTTCAATCAGGGTTCAGACCTGGTTTTGGAAAGAACACTGCCTTGGTTGCCCTGTGGGATAACCTTTGCTGGGAAAAGGACAGGGGGGCTGCAACCCTGTTCATTCTCCTAGACCTCTCAGCGGCTTTTGATTCCATTGAATAGGGTATCCTTCTGGATAAGCTGGTTGGGTTAGGAGTTGGAGGTACTGCATTGCAGGGGTTCCACTCCTACTTGACTGATTCCAGAAGGTGGTGCTGGGGGGATTATGGCTCTGCACCATGGCAATTTTGGCACCACAGGGTTCCATTTTATCCCCTGTGCTGTTTAACATCTACATGAACCCACTGGGGGAGGCTATCTGGACATTTGGGCTGAAGTACCACCAATATGCAGATGACACTCAGTTCTGCCTCTCTTTGTCATCCAACCCAGGTGAGGCAGTGACCAGGTGGATCAGTGTCTGGGCATGGTAATGGACTGGATGAAGGCCAACAAACTGAGACTCAATCCAGACAAGAGGGAAGTGCTGTTGGAGGGTGGGTTGTCTGTCCAGTTATACAATATTCAACCTGGTCTGGTTGGTGTTGTACTCCCTCTAAAGGACAAGGTTCATAGTTTGGGGGTGCTGCTGGATCCAGAACTGCCAACTGAGACGCAAGTGGACTCAGTGGCATGGAGCACCTTTTATCGGTTTACGCTGATATATCAACCATGACCCTATCTGGACAGGGAGAGCCCAGCTACAGTAGTCCACACTCTGGTAACTTTTCATTTGGACTGTTGCAATGCTGCCTTTGAAAATGATCCAGAGACTTCAACTGATTCAAAACAGGGCAGCAAGGTTATTAACGGGGCCTGGCCCATGAGAGCATATTATGTCAGTCCTCTTTCAGCTGCACTGGCTCCCAGTTGAAGTCTGAGCCCAATTCAAAGTGCTAGTATTAACTAGCATTAACTTAAATGGTTTGGAGCCAGGTTATCTGAAGGAATGCCTCATCCATTATGGATCTACCCTGTACCCAGGGTTATCTTCTGGGGTCCTTCTCTGGGAGCCCCATCCAAAGGAAATAAAGGGGGTGGCTACTAGGAGCTGGGCCTTTTTGGTTGTGGCACCCCCATTATGGAACAAGCTTTTGAAAGAGGTGTGCCAGATGCCTGCTCTCTATTCTTTTCAGCACAAGGTGAAAATCTTCTTATTTTCCTAGTGTTTTAACAGTTAACTTAGTTTTGATTCTGTATTCTTTACTGCTACTGTACCTTTGTGCTGATTTCATTGCAACTGCTGTGATTTTATTGTGCATATGTTGTCACTGTTTTTCTTGTTGTGTATGTTTAATTTTTAACTGCTGTTAACTGCTCAGCTATTGGGTGGTATAAAAATGAAATAAATAAATAAGGCAGAGTGGTGTGCTACAAGAACTACAATATGCTGTTCGGAGGAGGAGTGTTGGCCTCACTTGCTGCAAGAATGCACTTTCCAAGAACTTCTCAGACATTGAATTTGGCCCTTATGTTGAGAGGTTCTGATCTATGGTTATTAGCCACAAGATCACTTATCTTCATGCCCTCATCAAAGGCTTCCAAAAACATCCTGTTAACCATGTTTAGAAACAAAATGCTGGACTGGGTGCAACTTTGGTCTGATCTCACAGGGCTCCTTTTACACGTCTACTGTTTACCTTTCATCGGTTTGAATGGTCAAGAACAAAAGCTGGCTGAAGTAGATTCATTGACAGTAAGATTGCACTGCTATACACACTTTCCTGGGGATAAGTGCCACTGACTGCAATGGCACTTACTTCAGAGTAGGGTTTGCACTAAAAAAACTTTGGAAAATTTGTCTCTGACACACCTCATTCTCACAACTAATCGTGTTGCAAAGATTAGCAGTGCCACTACCATTGTTACATGGAGGGGTGTGGAATATATAATTGCTTGCTGCAAATACAAGTGACCTGAGAATGACCACCTGAAAGCAGATAGCAAACAGGTGTGTGCACCTGAAACACCATGAAATTCTTTAATGACTTTGAGTCAACAACTTCAGGTGACTGAAGGGTTGTCTGTCTCTGCACTAAAAATTAACAAGTAAAAATACAATTCAGTTCCCCCTCCAAAAGGAGCATTAACACACCCAAATCATTTTTGCATATATTGGCTTACTTTGCACAATTTATTCTGCTTTTAAGAATTGTAAAGCGATGGGAGTAAAAAGCTATGAAGAACACTAAAAACCCACACACTGGTAACTGGGAATCTTGTGTGCCTCCCTCCACAACCCTGATCCTGCGATTTCCTGAGGTATTGCTGCAAACTTCCGAGTTTGTTTTTACAGATCTTAAGGGACAAAACTTGCATTTCTTTTTAACTTGGAAAAAGATGTGCATTTCCATGTTCAGTACAAATTGGCATGCTTTGGGGAGTATGAATGCAGGATATCCATGTGACCATCTCAAGTATGCAAGCATGAATTGGAGCATCTACGCAGACTTTATATGCGGGGTAGCCAAAGACTTCTGCAGTGGTGACATAGCCCTTTCAAGGGGAGCCGGAATGAACACAAGGATGTTCATGAAGGTGCATGCAACATGTTAACACTACCACAGAACATGAAAAACTTCCTTCAGGCACTAATGCCTTTTTATTTTGACAGACTTTCAGGGGTTAATAACTCTGTTGCCCTTGCTTTTACAACCATGGCTCTTAAATTTAATTGCTGCCAGTGTTAACATTTCATGTAATAATAAGTTTTAACTGTAACTTTGTTGTTTTCATGATGTTTGTTTTTGTAAACTTATCTGAATGATTTTCAAGTAATGATATCATTCCCCATTGTGCAAAAAACTGGTGCAAAGCAATCAGGGTGTTGATCAATGCTAATATCAGAGATTTACTTGTCACATAGTAATGGCAGAGCAATACTCATAAACTCTTAAATTTGGTAATGAATGAATATTTTGTTGTCAAGTCATAACATACTTTGATCACTCCCTCTGTTCTTGCTCACTTCTGTCATACCCCAAAGAGACAGAGTTGGTAGATCTGCTTGTATGAAGCCAGCACAGATTTAGCAGAGCCAAATGTCAGTGCTTGGAAGCAGACCAGAAATAAGGATATCAGCTCTTTTTTCTGCAAACCAGTTGTTAGCAGTTCCCTTCTTCCCACTTGTATGTAAAAGGAAAGTTATGTAAAGCTTTTCTTGAATTGCACCACTTCCTATTATCATCTGGGTAAGTGCTGCAGGCTTTAATGTTTCCTTAGTTGACATGGGTACACCCATCACATGGAAAACCATCATGTCAGAAAAAAGGCTAGACTGAATTCACATGCTTGACAAGTACTCCCCCTCCCCCGGGGGGCAAGAAGCTCAATCCATGAGGCAGTTTTAAGCCATCCACAATCTGAAGTAAAATTCAAGGGAAGTATTTATGTTTTGGTCCTTGCAGATTGTATCTACAATCCCCAAATCCCCACTTCAGATTATGTTTTAAATTAAGGTTTAAAGGAAGTTTTACATTAATCTAGCAGATCAGGCTTTAAGTTTATTGCCAAAGGGTATTCTTCTATGGCACACTGGATAACAGTTTAGCAACCATAATTTTGTAAGGTCTGACTTGCTGGGGAGTGCAGGAATGTGCTTTGCCTTTACTAGCAAACCTGACATTTACAATACTCATCTCAATTACAATAATAACATTTAGGATACCTCATTGATGACAAAGAAAGCCTTAGGCAAATCAAACTAAAATCAGGGGTACAGGTCTCAGAGTACTAGGAAGCCTAATCTGCACTGTCACTCAATATGGTTCATAATTTCAGTCTTCAGCCTCCAAACCTACCAAAGGAAGAAAGGAAACCCGAGAGCACAGAGCATAAATGCCTATCAGTAAGGCCTGAGAGATATCTCTGCTAGTTCAAAGCACGTATTTCTCTGACTCACGGCCAAAGCAAGCACCACCTTTTCCTGAACTGAGGGTCTACTGGACTAATGAGAAACCGAGAAAAAGGAAAACAAGGTAAGTCTCAAAACAAAGCTCTCCTGTCAGCCATTTCCTATTGTGTTAATAATTTCCAGAATGGCACCAGCCAACAAAGAATGGTGGGTGGGGCCGCGGAAAATGCCCGGCT